GTCCTGTGCAGTGGGCTCTGTGATAGCAGGAGACGCAGGCTTCTGTGGGAGCAGGGAGGGGAGCTGGGAGGCCCTGGGGACAGACAGCTCAGCTTTCACAGGGACATGAGTTTAAGGAGTTTGGGGCTGGGTGGAATCTGACTTTTTCTTCAGAAAAATGCAATGTGGACCTGTTTTGGAGAGATTACTTTGAAGTTCAACATCAGTGAGGCAGCTGATAGACTAGTCTGGAGCAATCATGCAGATCACAGTTTGTAATAACTGTAAGAAATATGATGGTAGTAAACGTTAAGATTCTTACCGTATTTAACTTTTGAGTGTTTGTGTATGTATATGAGTGTGTGGGTATGCTTGTGTCGTGGTGTGTTTGGAGGACAGCCTGGTCTATAGAGTGAGTTCCAGGACAGCCAGGGCTACACAAGAAACCCTATCTCAAAAAACTTAAAAAAATAAAAAAATCAACAACAACAAAGCGGTCTTTTAATGGGGCTGGAGAGATGGCTTAGAGGTTAAGAGCACTGACTGCACTTCTAGAGGTCCTGAGTTCAATTTCCAGCAACCACCTGGTGGCTCACAACCATCTGTAATGAGATCTCATCCCCCATTCTGGCTTTTATGGATATATTCAAGCAGAAAGCTATATACATAATAAATGAATAAAATGTTAAAAAATAAGCAAATAAATAAATAAAAACTTGCATGGATGAAAGTTGAGATAGATAGGGAATGTTAAGAGAAATAGAGGTACCAGGAACCCTTTAAGGTTTTTAGTGTATTACCTAGGTGATTTACTCAAACACAGGAGGAGATAGTAAGTTCATTTTTCAGCTTGGGTGCCTATTTGGGGTGATAATGGTGACAGATGATGAAGCTAACATTTATTGGCTGCCTCTAAAGAAAGGCCCTACTCCATGTGTTTTTTGTTTATATGAATCGTTCCATTGTAGCAGGAATTCTTCAAGTGGAGAGTCTGGGGCACAGTGGGTTAAATGACTGAGCTCATGTCTAGTGAGTGGTGAAGCCAGAGCCTTGTCAGGCAGTCAGAGCCCTATGCTGTTGATCCCTTTCATTGAGATGGAAATGTCCAGTTCATGTACAGGCCTGGCACCACAAGGAAAACCTAGATTGCAGATACAGGCTTGGGAACTGTCAGCACAAAGATAATGGTAGAAGCCATGGTATCCAGAGGGGTTTGTGAAATGGTGGGCACATGCCATAAAGACTGCCATTTGTCAATAGTGTTCCCATGGTCGGCATTGCTCCTAGATCAGTCGGTGGCTTGCCTCAGAAAAGGAGACTGAGGAAGGGCTAGCGAGATGAGGAGAAAACCTGGAGAGAATGGTGCCGCTGGAGCCCAGAGGAGAGCAGTTTTTGAATTGGAGTGCTCAGCAATAGCATATTGCTGCTTTTTCCAGAACTTGTTTGAAGGGTCAGTGAACAGGGTTGTATTTGGCAGGCAAGTCCCTTGTGACCTCGATGACAGCCACAGAGCACTTGAAGGTGGGGGCATCGAGCAGAGAAGGGTGGTGGTGGTTTCATTGGTCTGTAAATCGAGGATGTAGTTTTCTAGGGAGGGAAGAATGTGGTTGGAGGACTGCAGGGTCTAATGTGGAGTGGGAAGGAAATGAAGTCATAAAGAGCCTGTATCTCGGAAGTAAAGAACAAACTTAGGGAGAAGCCTTTCCTCTTACTGTAGGTGCTACACTATGGTGTCATAGCCAGCCAGCTAGGTAAGGTGGAGCTCCAGAGTGCCTAGTGCCAGGGCCCTGCTGGCTACCACAGTCACAGGTGCACCCTACAGGATGGCAGCCTTAGGGGATTATAGCTTTAAAGGGTCCCTCAAGATCTGGGAAGAGATTCTCAGGTGGTTTTATGGAACAGGATCTCCCATTCAAGGACTGTTGACATTGGGGGCAGGTAAATCCTTTGTTGAAGGGGCCAAAGAATTCTCCTGCTTATCATGTTTTCATTCATTCATTCATTCATTCATTCAGCATAACTGGTCCACAGACAATAGTCCTCTGTCAATTTAGACAACCAGTATATTTGCAGGCAACCACCAAGTATCTCCTGGTGGACAGCATGGCTTCCAGTTGAAAGCTACTGTTTCCTAGTTCATCTGGCTTCCCTCATTTCTGTCATAGTTTCCCCACCCTATTTAGCATCTTTGGGCGCTCCAGCTCTGCTGATTAGAGGTCAGCTTTTTTAAGCTTTCTGGCCTTTTCCTGGGAAATTCCCTCTCTGGAAATAAACTGTCCAATAGGCAAGACAGAGATATGGTCCCCTATAAAATTCAGTTCAGTGTTAAATGTTTGATTATTTATTATTTTGATTGTCTTATTTTTGAAACAGAGTCTCTCTGTGTAGCCCTCTGCAGACCTCACTCTGCAGACCAGGCTGGCATTGAACTTACAGAGATCTGCCTGCCTCTGCCTCCTGCATGCTGGGATTAAAAGCGTGCAACACTACTGCCTGGTTTAATGTTTGATGGTTTTGATGTGGTATTTAGGGAATACTACTTGACACACATTGTTAATTGTGTGTGTGTATACTTGAGTACATGTATGCCTCGTGTGGGTGCCTGTGATGTTCACACTGTGGGCACAGCTGTCCTCTATCACTCTCTGCCTTTTCCTTTCTCGTTCAAGTCCCTGAACCAACTGGTCTTTCTTTCTTGACTGGGCTGGAAACTAGTGAGCTGCAACAATCCTGTTAGAGTGGGATCCTCATGGTTACGGAACAGGTGCTCTTAGCTGTGAAGCCATCTCTCTAGCTCTAAACATTTTAGTATGTACCTAGGCTGGCTTCCAACTCAAGATCCCTCTACCTCTACATCCCAAGTACTAGGACTCTAGGTGTGCACCATTGTCATGAGCCTTTACCAGTGTTTATGTTGCTTGCTCAGTTGTTACAGGTTTTTGTGTGTCTCTTGTAAGCAAGGCTAACGTAGCCTCAGTGAGAACAGGGACCCTTGTTTTGTAGGGAGCATTGCGCATTCTGGACAAGCGCTGGACCACTGACTGCATCCTCAGTCTTGCTTTTCTTTTCCTCCCTTCCTCCCTTCCTTCCTTTCCAGTTTTATTTTGATGTGGAGTCTTAAGTTGTCCAGGTTGGTCTTGAACATATAGTCATCGTGCCTCGGCCTCCCAAATGTAGTTGGGATTACAGCAGCTCCCACCATGCCCACTCTTCCTAACTTTTTGCATGCTAGCAGAATACCTGACACGGAATGTGCTCTTAGTGAATGTATGCTGGGACAAGTCACTTAGGCTAGATAATTGACTGACTTAAACCTCTAATTTGTAAGTGTTTTTTAAACACCTTTAACCCTTTATTTAGTGTGCACCCATGCATGTTTGTTTGTACCACAATGTATGTAGGTCATAGGACAACCTTCAGGAGTTAGTGCTCGCCTTTCGTCACGTGGGTCCCAGGGATTGAATTCAGGCCATCAGGCAGCACGCACCTTTACCTGCTGAACCGTCTCTCCTTCTTTCCTCTATTTTTTCTTTAAATTTTTCCTTTTGGTTTTTCTAGACAGGGTTTCTCTGTAGGTTTGGAGACTGTCTTGGAACTCTCTTTGAAGATCAGGCTGGCCTCAAACTCACAGAGATCCACCTGCCTCTGCTTCCCGAGTGCTGGGATTAAAGGCATGCACCACCACCGCCTGGCCCGTTTCTCCTTCTTAAATTCTGAATTTTGAGAGCATTCCAGATATCACAAGAAAAGGTGTGTTCTCTTATTATTTTCAAAATATAATTTATACAGAGTGAAGCATGTCTGTGTATAACATGAGTGCAGTGCCCACAGAGGCCAGAAGAGGGCATCAGATTCCCCTAGCTCTAGAATTACAGGTTGTTGTGAGCCACCTGATATGAGTGCTGGGAATTGAACGCAGGTCTTTTGCAAGAGCATCATGTGCTCTTAACCACTGAACATCTGTCCAGCCCCTTGTTTTTACTTTTTAGCTCTGCAGCTGATTTTAACAGACAAAATGTTATCATTTGTGTCCATACAGCTCAAATTGTCAAAGAAAAAAAAGGCCTATGTATCCACACTAAGTTAAAGAAATGGAATATGGCCAGGCGTTGGTGGCACACGCCTTTAATCCCAGCACTTGGGAGGCAGAGGCAGGCGGATCTCTGTGAGTTCGAGGCCAGCCTGGTCTACAGAGTGAGTTCCAGGACAGCCTCCAAAACAATACAGAGAAAACCCTGTCTCAAAAAACCAAAAAAAAAAAAAAAAAACCAAAAAAAAAAAAAAAAGAGGTAACAAATTCAGATAAAAAATATATAAAATATATATAGCTCAGTGGGAAAGTACATGTTTCATGTGTACAACACCTTTGGTTCAGTCCCCAGCAGCAAACACACACACACACACACACACACACACACACACACACACACCGTATACACTGAATTTATCATATTATTTCAGGTTTTCTTTAATTTTTTTCTTTTTTTGAGATAGTCTCATTATGTATTCCTGGCTGACCTTGAACTCATAGAGATCCACCTTCCTCTGCTTTTGCCTCTGTCTCTTGAATGCCTGAATGCTGAGGTTAAAGGTGTGTATCAACACACCCAGCTCAAGGACCACTTATGTTTTTATTTTTTACATTTTGTGTGTGTGTGTGTGTGTGTTTGCTTGCACAACTCACCCTGTGGATTCTGGGGGTCCAACTCAAGTGAAAGGTCCTTGGTGGCATCCCTCAGTTGTTACTTCTACCAGATTAGTGGCATTACATATATTCACATCTCCCGTGGCCATCACCACCTTCCATTTCTAGTACACTCCTGTCTTTTAGAACTGATACTCTGCCCATTAACCGGAAGCCTGCTTTCTGTCTACCGCAGTTGCTTTGTGTACGTGGAACCATGTTCATGGGGCCTCAGAAGCTTGTGCCGTTTTAGGGCTGGTGTGTTTCAGTCATCAGTCACATCTTCAAGACTTGTCTTTGTCCTAACATGAATCACATTTTCTTCTCTCTTTTTAAGGCACTCTAATATCCTGTCGTAGGATGTATGCTCCATTATGTGTTCCCACTCATCTGTTCATGGGATTTGGAGTCACTTCCACTTTCTGGCTTTTGTGAGTAATCTGTTTATGAACTTGGCTATAGAAACGTGTTCATACTCTGCTTTCATTATTTTGGTATAAACACAAAGGAGATTTGCTATGTCATGGAGTAATTGGGTTTTTTATTTTTTGAGGAGGCTTCCACATTATTATTCTTGCAGTTCTACCATTTAAAAAGTTTTTAAAGATTTGTTTTTCATGTGACTGTCTACATGGTTGTATGTGTACCGTGTATGTGTCTGGTGCCAGAGGAAGTCAGAAGAGGGCATTGAGTCCCCTGGAACTGGAACTGGTTGTGAGCTGCCCTGTGGCTCCTAAGAACTGAAGCCAGGTCCTCTGCAAGAGCAACAAGTAATCTTAGCTGCTGAGCCATCTCTCCAACCCCTGGCTTTACCATTTTTTGTTTTATTTTTCATAGTCTATATCGGCCTATCAGGTTTTATTTGTAGAGGCTGATGAACTTTAATCAAAGTTACAAAAACGTGGTTTAGCAAGTATAACAGGATCAGAGAGAAGGGCTCACGGGAACAAGTTCTTTCTTCAGACCTGAGGGAGCCCTCAGTGGAGGACAGGATGTTTGAGGCAAGAGATAAGAAAGCTCAGGCTTGGGCAGTAGGGCTTGCCCTTACCCACCCTCCCCCGAGCCCCGGTCTCAGACCCCGAATTAAACTCTAGCCCCATGAACACAGAAAACTGTTGCTAGTCCCTCAGAGCAGGGAGAGGAAGAACTATTAGACCTCAGAGATCAGCTATTGACAGGCCACAGAGTGGCAAAGGCCACAGCTGCCCCTGCACCTGTCTTGGCTGGCTCCGGCATGGTCTGGTGTTGCCTGTAGGTTGTTTGTCGGTCTGTGCGGAGTGAGGTCATAAGTTAGAGAACTCTAATCCCTCCATGAGTCACACGTGTCCTGCATGCTCTTCACTTTGATATACGGATGCCAAGGAAAACAGGCCAGAACGTGGACCACTCTGCTTCATGGTGGCCTTGGAGGCGTTGGGCTGAGAGCCTGTTGCATGTCCCTGATGGCAATTCAGCTTCTGCATGGGGGTCGTAAAGCTCAGGCATAGAGGGGCTGCTGCCATCTAATCTTGGTTTCGGGGTCAGGTCAGAGGACCATAAGACCCCTTTGTTGTCGGTTTTTTTTCCCTTCTCTTTTTCCTCCTTGTTTTATTTAATTTTTGAGACAGGGTCTCATAATGTAGTCTTGGCTGTCCTGGAACTCATGCATAGATCCATCTGCATTTAAAGGCATATGCCACCATACCTGGCTTATTTTTGCATTTTGAGGCAGGGCCTTGCTATATAGGGCTGGCCTAAACTTGTAATCTTTTTCCTTCTACTCCGTGAGTGCTCAGATTACAGATGTGCACTACATGCCTGGACTCAAATAGCTTACTACTCATGAGAACTTCTCCTATGGAGATTTTTAAGCAAAAATATTTCATGTTTTCTTACCAATATCTTCTTCCACTTGGCGTATAGATGATGCCAAGAAGGACAAAGCAGGTGTTTGTGAGAAGCTGTCTAGCAGCTGTCGATCTTGTGGTTGGTACTGACAAGCTTCTGGCTGCCATCACTGTCATTGCCAAGGGATTTGGGGCTGCTGCTGTCCAGGCTATGAGGAAAACTCACAGAAGTGTCCTTTGTGTCCAGGTCTGGACTGTGGGAGAGTTGAGAGACTGGGCAGTGCCTTTGGATGTGAAAGCCTTTGGGGCCTGCCAAATACAGGCAGAGTCCGTGCAGTGAGAGAGCATGCGCTCCAGGTTTTTCTGTCCTCAGTCTGCAGGAGATCTACGTGTAGTGGAGACAAGGCCACATTGGTCTCAGCCTATTGCTGAGAAGGCGAGGTTGAGCTTGAGGGGGAAATCTATGAAGGCCTCCGTCCTGTCACTTTCCAGAGCCTGCGAGCGACAGGTGCTGTGCAGAGGGGTTGGTTGAGGGGGTGAGGAGAGTCTGCAGAGAGGTGGATGGCTGCTTAGGCATGGTAGGTTCACTGTAGCACGGATTCTAGTTGGTATTAGTGATAAAAACCCAGAGACAGTCATTGGGTTAAAGTTGAAGACTAGAGAAGCAAAGTGGCCTGCTACTAGAGTTCTCATCTGTATCAATGCGCAGACCAAAGGGACAGTCCTGTCCTCAGACTGCATCTCCAGACTGCATTGCTCCTCAGACTGCACTGAGCTCCTCTCTTCTCCCACCTTAAATTCATCTCTAGTGCTGGGATTAAAGGCATGTGATCTCAAGTGCTCAGGTCACCTTTGTGTGAGCTCTGTTTCTCTGTTAGACTGGATAGATTTCATGTAGCTCAGGGTGGCCTTGAACTAACAGAGATCCATCTGCCTCTGTCTCCTGATTGCTGGGGTTAAAGGTGTGCACCACCACTGCCTGACCTCTATGGCTAGCTAGTGTGACTAGCTTGCACTCTGATCTTCAGGAAGACTTTTTTGTTATACTGTAAATAAAATATCACCACAGTTTTTGCCGATTGAGTTGGTTGTCAAATTGGTTGTTGTCCAGATGGAAAATTCCATGATGTGGTAAAGGCATAGACTCCTGAGGATGTGTCTCTCTAAGATACTTCCTTTGCTCTCCCCCTTGTACACACTCGATGATAACCAGACTGAGTAGGCTGTTTGCAACCAACAGGAGCTGCAACAGCAGTAGGGAAGGGTCTGTAAGGTCCGCTTAGAGGCCATGGTGATGTCAGTGGGAACTGCAGAGCCAGGCCAGAGCCTGAGAGCTTCGACCTGTCCTGGGGTGTATACCATCCTAAATTTCTAAGTGTCCCAAAAGTCTCAGTGTTTTGCTGCTGCTGCTGCTGCTGCTGCTGCTGCTGCTGCTGCTGCTGCTGCTTCTTCTTCTTCTTCTTCTTCTTCTTCTTCTTCTTCTTCTTCTTCTTCTTCTTCTTCTTCTTCTTCTTCTTCTTCTTCCTCCTCCTTCTTCCTTCTTTTCTTCTTCCTTCTCCTTCCTCCTCCTCTTCTTTCTTCTTCCCCTCCTCATCCTCCTTCCTCCTCTTTCTCCTTCCTTCCTCCTCCTCCTCCTTCTTCTTCTGTCATTTTTTGAGACAAGGTTTCTCTGTGTAACAACCCTGGCTCTTCTGGAACTCACTTTGTAGATCAAAACTCACTTTGTAGACCAGGCTGGCTCCAAACTCACAGAGATCACCTGTCTCTGCTTCCCAAGTGCCGGGATCAAAGGCATGCACCACCTCCGCCCAGCCTTATTTTTCTTATTTGTTTGTTGTGGTGCTAAGAATCCAGTTTAAGATGCCTTTCACTTGCTAGGCAAATGACCAGCCCTAAATTATGCTCCCAGCCTTACCTGAGACTTTAAATAAACAAATAAATGGACATAGTGGCACAGACCTGAAATCTCAGCACTTGGGAGGCAGAGGCAGGTGATCTCTGAGTTTAAGGCCAGCCAGGGCTGCATGGTGAGACTTTGTCTGGGGCCTGACTGATTATGAGATAAGGTTTAATGCAGCCAACCTGGCCTAGAATTCTCTATATGGTTAGTCTGACTGACCTTAAGCTTCTGATCCTCCTGCCTCCATCTCCAGAGTGTGTCAGGTTACAAGCATGTGCCACCATGCGTCCTCCCCACACCTGCAATGTGAAGTTATGATTGAGCCCAGGACTTTGTGCATGTTAGGCAGGCACGGCATTCCAGACTTATTAAAGGTTCGACTTTTAGTGTGGGGGTTGGTGCACAGGCCATGGCTTTCATGTGGAGGTTAGGGGACAACTTGTGGGGGATGGAAGATGGGTCCCGAGTATCAAATTCAAGTTGTTATCAGACTTGGTGGCAAGTGCCATCACTCACTAAGCTGTCCTGTTCTCCACCTCTGCCCTCTCGTCTAAGACTGTTTCCCAGGAGAGAGAGAGAGAGAGAGAGAGGGAGGGAGGGAGGGAGGGAGGGAGGGAGGGAGGGAGGGAGGGAGGGAGGGAGGGAGGGAGAGAGAGAGAGAGAGAGAGAGAGAGAGAGAGAGAGAGAGAGAGAGAGAGAGAGAGAGAGAGAGAGAGAGAGAGAGAGAGAGAGAGAGAGAGAGAGAGAGAGAGAGAGAGAGAGAGAGAGAGAGAGAGGAGACGAGACTGACTCTGACAGACACAGAGATATGGAGACCAAAATTAGTAGGTTAAATTCCCATGTCTGTCACCTAGCTTTAGTCTGGGAAGCTTGGCCAGTGTTGCAGGTCTGCCCTTTCCCGATCCTGCAGTGTTCAGTGTTCATTTTCAGTCACATACAGTCAACCCCCAGAGTGGCTAACTCTGGTGGTTTAAATCTCCCAGTGACACCATAGCAACATAGTCTGTAGGTTGCTAGAAGTATATTCTGTGATAGTCACTTAAGAAACCATCTGACTGAGACTTTAAGTGCCACATAATTTCATGCATTCTTTTAGTTTTGTTGCTTTGAGATAGGAGTTCTCCATGCAGTGCAGACTGGCCTCACACTTGTGACTTTGCCCCTCAGCCTCTCTGGTGCTGGGATTACAAGTGAGTGCCACAACCTTCATCTTACCAGCATCTTTATGTCTTGTCCTGATTAATCTGATGCTATAGGAGGCAAAGGATAATAAATCACTTAAAGATGACAATATATACTGGTAATTGAATTTTTATATGAGGTGCAATTTTTAACTATGAATACAAGTTAAACCGTAATTTCATTTTTCCTGATATTTCTGGTGTTTGTATATACTATGAACCGTACGGTAGGCAGTTCTGTTTTTAATAACATGGGCCTACTGGTGCTACCTTCTGCTGGAATCACACTTTTCTGGGTTTTGTTTGTTTATTTTTGTTTTTTCAAGAAAGGGTTTTTCTGTAGCTCTAACTGTCCTTGAACACACCCTGTAGACTAGGCTGACCTAGAACTCAGAGATCTGCCTGCTTCTGCCTTCAGAGTGCTGGGATTAAAGTATGCTCCACCACATCTGGTTGTGTTTGCTTTTTCAAACTTGCCATCTTACCGGCCTCTAGAATAGTGGTTCTCAACCTGTGGGTGGCACTGAGACCATCTGCATATTACCTAAGACCATCTGCATATCAGATATTTATGTTATGGTTCATAACAGTAGCAATATCAGTTACAGAGTAACAACAAAAGTAATTTTATTGTTGGGGGTCACCACAACATTGGGGGAGGGGGTCACAGCATCAGAAAAGTCGAAAACCAGTGCTGTAAAAGAAATACCTAGGGCTGGAGAGATGGCTCAGAGGTTAAGAGTACTGGCTGTTCTTCCGGAGGACCTGAGTTCAATTCCCGGCAACCACACGATGGCTCACAACCACCTTGAATGAGATCTGGTGCCCTCCGCCGACATGCAGGCAGAAGACTGTGTACACAATAAAATATTTTTAAAAAAAAGATATACCTAAAGGCAGATCCCAGTATGAAGGTTATCCCTTTAGGTGTCTGATGGACAGTAGGTGTAGAGAATGGAGTAATGCAGATATAGACCTGCTCATAGTGCTTAGCGAGTGCCAGGTAAAAACAGTGCATTTTATGTGAATTAAGTAATTTAAGCCTCACAACCCTCTCTGAGCTAGTGTTATTATCTCCACGGCACTTGTGAGGGATTGAAGTTCAGAGAAGTTAGTGTGTGTGTGCTCCAAGAAGGAAAACCAGTAAGTGACAGGACAGGATCAGGGACTGGTCTGAGGCAGTGTGGCGCCAGGACTTGTCCTTGTGACCATAGCACTGTCCTGTACTTACTCCACACTCGTGTAAGTCAAGGGAATGTGAGGTAGAACATGCTTTTAACGTCCTGTGGGCTCTGTGGGACTTGCAGACTCGGTGATTACACAGAAAGCATTTCATCCCAAACATTATTCCTGTTCTCAAACTAGTGTTTTCAAATCTGGCCTACATCTGAGACCTTGCGTTCAGACAAAGAACGCTTGAACTTTTTAGTTGAATTGGCAGATCAAGAGCTTGCTGGCAGGATATTTATTGCCTGTAGTATTTAGACTTTAAGTGTTGACCTGGGCAGTCATTTGTGCACATCATGATGGCCCCACAAAGCAGGGGTGAGGATGTGTGTGTTTTTATGTGTCTCTGTAGATTGGCCACTTCTTCGTAAAACGGAACCCATCTTATATGAATCCTAAAAACCTTTTGGAGCTCCTTAAATCCAAGAACTACTGAGCCTTTTGGAATAGAGTTATGAACAATGCAAATTGTCTCCTTTTCTGGAGACCTGAGATAAGTAGGATAAAAAAGAAGCTGTTCGTTTTTAAATGCTTAAGGTTGAAGCCTAGAGTGGGGTTTACATTCCTCCTTAATCTTTAAGCCAGGCTAACAACTACAGTGTGAAAAGGAAGCCAGTACTCTGTTTTCTCCTTTCTATGACTTAGCTTTTGTCTTTGGCTGGGCTCCCAGACACAAGCTAGACCTGTTGCTTGAGGTCAGCCAAGTATTTGACTGAAGGGAGAAATAGGCAGTCACTTCTACTCGTCGAATGTGTATTATGTGGAGACCAGTAATGATGTCACCTCCATTTTTCTTTGTCATAGGTCTATGAAGGGCTAGACATCATCACCAATAAAGTCTCTGCCCAGGAGCGGAAGGTGTGCCAGCACCACATGATCGGCTTTGTGGACCCCCTTGTGACCAGCTACACTGTGGTGGACTTTAAGAGCAGAGCAACTGCCCTAATATCCTTAAGGAGATAGAGCATCCAGGCTTGGTGGGCTGCTAGTGGCACCTTCTAGTAAGCAAGGGCACCTACTCCCAGTAGGCAGCTTCCTAGGAACTCATTAGAAATGCTGACTCTGGGGCTCCACTGTAGACCTACTAAGTTAGAGTTTGAACTATCACAAGAGGCTGGCATGGTTCTTTCTTTTAAAGTTTATGTATTTTTATTATTATGTGTGTGCATACATGTGCCATGTCTATGTGTACAGCTTTCGGGAGTCATTTCTCTCATTTTCCCTTGTTGAGGCAAGGTCTCTGTTATTGTTTCTGCTATCCTGTGTACTCCAGCTTCCAAGTGAGTGTCCTGTTTCTGTTTCCTGTTTTGAAGTGTGGATGCTGGGATTGTAGCTGTGTGCACCATATCCAGCTTTTTATATGGTCCCCTGGGAACTGAACTCAGGGAGGGCATCAGGCTTGCTGGACAAGTGCTTTTACCCGTTGGGCCATTTTACCAGCCTACACATGATTCCAAAAATGTTTAGGAAAACACATTATATGACAGGGACACTGATTTAGAAAGTCTATGTTCTAATTCTAAAATTACTTCTTTTGACCATGTTGTTTTTGCTGGGTAAAGCTTCAGTTTCCTGTTTTGTAAGTATAGAGATATAAAATTATGAATTTATAGTGATAATGCAGTCATTGAAAACTTCAAAGGGATTGTTGGGTAGGAAAAGATTGGGAAATATAGTTCTGGATAAGATGAAGATTCCAAATGAATTTTAGGGTTTAAATACAGACAGACAGACAGACAGACACACACACACACACGCACACACACACACACACACGAGAAACTTGAAACAAATAGAACATACAGCTGATTAAGTAGTTACTTGATTATTTTAAAGTATGGTTGAATTTTATCTTTACTTTTTATTTTTTGAGACAGGGTACCTGTGTTGCCCTCATTGTCCTTGAACTGACTATGTAGACTGGCCTGAGGGAAGCGAGACGATCAACATGGCAGCATAAGGAGTTCTAGGCAAACCTGTGCCATAAAGCTTGTCTCAAAAATAAATAAATAGATGAATGAATGAATGAATGAAACAAAAGGCTTATGAACCAGAACACCTAGACATACTGTAGAGACACTCTTAGTCAGAAGATTTTTCTTAGATGTACATCTCAGTTTTGCACTTAGCAGCAGTTTATTGTTTATACCCAAATTCTCACTCTCTTAGAAGAATGTGCAAAATTTGCTTTGCTCATAGAAGTTCTTTTTGTCTGTTTTTATTTTGTTTTTTCTTTTTTGGTGGGGAGGGAGGCTCAAGACAGTTTCTCTGGGTAATCTTGGCTATCCTGGAAATGATTCTGTAAACCAGGCTGGCCTCAAAGTCAGAGAGTGCTGGTATTAAAGGTATGGGCCACCACCACCACCATTGTAGAAGTATTTTTTTTAAACAGTAAAAATGAATAAATTGTAGCCACATGCATCGGTCAATATAGAAGAACTTTATAAATAATATAATGTTGGGAATTACAAGTTACACATCTGTTTTTGCCACTGTTATAAAAAGTTAAAAGGTAGGGCTGGAGAGATGGCTCAGAGGTTAAGAGCACTGACTGCTCTTCCAGAGGTCCTGAGTTCAATTCCCAGCAACTAACTACATGGTGGCTCACAGCCATCTATAATGAAATCTGGTGTTCTCTTCTGGCTTGCAGACAGACATGGAGGCAGGATATTGTATTCATAATAAATAAATAAATAATCTTTAAAAAAAGGCAAAAAACCTGCTTGGTGTGGTGGTGCACACCTGTAATTCTAGCACTTAGGAATGGAAGGTAAGGCCATTAGCCACACAGCAATTTTAAGCCAGCTTTGGACAAACAGAACATATTACAAACTTTGGGGAAAATATAACATAGAGAACAAGTGACTAATGTTCTTAATACATGGAGGACTGTCTTGTGACTATGAAAATACTTACAGGGCCTTGTCTGTAATTCACATAGGAACAAGTACAGATACAGTGATAAACATGGAAAAGGTTTGTCCTCTTTGCTAATCATGGGCATGCAAATCCAGACAACGAGATAATGTTTTTTGCCTACCAAATGGACAGATTGAAATGCAGATAGTAGTTGCAGGTCTACCTACTCTGCAGGGCTGTGGTGTCAGATGTGATATTTATGAAAGCCCTTTGTAGATTAAATCCTATCACCAAATATGAGATCTTGCTTTAAGAAAACTGAATTATTGATAAAGAACTGACATAAAGTAGAGAGTGTTTAATGTTTTGCAAGAACAGAAACAGCAGAGGACAACTCCATCAGATCAGCTCTAGGCTAGTTTTGTGAAGTTTGGTTAAGAGTATAAAATCATAATGTCAAACTGAAGGTATCTTAACGAGCTCTAGAATTCCAACACTCAGGAGTCCGTCCAGTGCAGGAAAATGGGGAGTTCAAAGCTAGCCCACACTGAGGTCAGCAGGCTTGGTGTCAAGCACCATTACCTACTCAGCCATTTTGCTTGCCCCTGTTTTTTGAGGTAAGGTCTGTGTAGCCCTGGCTGGTCTTGTACTTACTATGCAGCCTCAGCCTCTCAAGTACTGGAATTTTAAACTGTTGTGCCTGGGCCAGCTCTCTCTCTCTCTTTCTCTGACCTTTACTTAGTTCTACTCTAACAGTTAGGAGGATTCTGGAAGAAACACTTACCTAGTTCTACACTGCAGGTTGACTGGTAGGAAGGAGTGAGGAAATTATTATCTGCATATTGAAAGTTATCTTTCTTTTTAAACAAGCAAAGCCCTGGTTAAAGTGTAATTACCTGCTCAACAGAGATTCTGAAGAGAATCCCAAGAAGCAGAACTCTAAGAGCAATAGTGGCTGCAGTAAATTGGTAGAGGCCTGATGCACACTGTTACAGTTAAAGCACTCTGGGGGTTTTACAGGTGTGAGGAAACTAAAGCTCACATAGGTTGAGTAACTTGCCGAGGAGTGGAGCCCTGGAAATTGAGGTCTGGTGAGGTCTCGGTGGCTGAACTCTGCGCTACTGCTCAGTCATGATAGATTCTGGCTGAGAACTGTAGTGTGGGTGAACCAGCCTGTGCTTTATCGTAGAAGGCCAAGTTCTATACTTGGCGAGCATCCTTGCCTTGCCCTTGTTAAACTTTTTTGGAAGACCAACAAAACAGTTTTAACATCAAGGGCTAGACATTTCTAGAACCAGGCACCATTGTGCATTCATGTCTGGTGTTCCTTTTCTGTTTTTAAATTTAAAAAAATTTATTTTATGTGTATAAGTGCATTGACTACATGTATGTTTGTACACCATGCGCATACCTGGTGCTAGTGGAATTCAGATGAGAGCATTGGATCCTTTAGAACTAGAACAGATGGTTGTGTTGTGAGCTGCCATGTGGGTGCTGGGAACTGAACCTGGGTCAGCTCTGCAAGAACAGCAAGTGCTCGTAACCACTGAGCCACCTCTCCGCCCCCTTTGGAGTTTTGTTTTGTTTCCTTTTGTTGTTGTTATTGCTATTTTTGAGACAAGAACTCATATATCCCAGGTGGACCTTGAACTTCTGATCCTCCTGCCGCTTCTCCTGAGCACTGGGATTACAGATATGTGCCACCATGTCGAATTTATGTGGTGCTTCTGCGTGCTAAACACTCACTCTTCCAATTGAAGTCCATTCTCAGGTCCTATGCCTTGATTATGGAAGTCCCTCCAGGTCTAGTTGTAAACGGTTCCATTAAGTTACAGGAAACATTGAAGATGGTGCCACTTCCTTTTATTTTCTCCCTTTTAATCTCAGCTCTCCAAACAAATGTAATTTCTTGTGTTGCTTTTTTAATCATTTTATGTGTTGTATGACTGTTTTGCTTGCATTTAAGTCTGTGTGCTAGTGTGTGGCTGGTGCTTGAGGAGGTCAGAAGAAGGCATTGGGTTCTCTGGAGCTGAAGTTGCAGGTGATTGGGAGCCACATGTGGGTGCTGGGAATTAAATCCAGTCCTCTGGAAGAGCAGCCAGTGCTCTTAATCACCGAGTGGTCTCTCCAGCCCCTCTCCCGCCCTCCCTTTCTTGTTTTCCGTGTGTGTGTGTGTGTGTGTGTGTGTGTGTGTGTGTGTGTGTGTGTGTGTGTGTGTGTATGCTTGTTAATGTATGTGCACGCGTGTATCTGTGTGGTGTATGTGCTTGTTAGTGTGAGTATGCACGTGTGTATACGTGTGCACATGTGCATACATGGGTGGTGGCCTGAGCGAGGTATGCATCCACATGCTGGCCTTTGTGATTTCTTGCTAATACTCTTCCCATGTGAGTCAGGATTCTCTTATTGATATTAAATAGCTTTCTTAATGTTTACATTGAAGATATTTTTGCTCGAGACAAAATTCCTATTGTCGTGGGAGGAACCAATTATTACATTGAGTCTCTGCTCTGGAAAGTTCTTGTGAATACCAAGGTAAGTCAGTCTAGTTCATTTGTAACTCACTAAAGAAATGGTTCCCATTTTTTTCATGCCAAATAATTTTAGTGGGAGGAAGGTTGACTCTTACCTGTTTCTTATAGTCAGCAGTTGTAATTTTCCTACTTAATATTCTGAACAAATGCCACCTCCGTATGTGCGTGTACTCCTCCAAGCTGGCCTAAGGGTAAGGGTTATGTGTGGGAAAAAGGCTCTGTGTGGATTAATTAGCATCCCTGTGTAAGTTAGCAGTGCATCAGTCTGACTCAGCATTTCCTGGCTGCCAGCACAGTGTGTATGTCAGAGATGTCCAACACTGACCTTTCTTACGGAGGTGCTACTGTGCAGGGCAAGACTTGGCAAATGGCAGTGTGCTGGCAGTTCTAGCTCACTCTTTGGTCTTCCTTGGGGAGGTGGACTACATCCCTGGATGTGTTAAAATAGACACGGTAACCCAGTTAAAATAGTCGAGCTCAGCAGCAAAGTACTTCCCTAACCGCCCTTCCTCTTTGTTTATTGTGGCCTCATAGTACTTACATGGCACATTGGAATTTTTGGTTTATGATCTGTCCCTCGCTGGACGGTAAGATCTTCAGAACCATCTCTGTTCTTTATTTCTAAGGCTTAGCAAGATGCCTGGCCCATTTATAGTCTCAGTGTTTATTGAATAGTTGGATTAATTTTATTCTAACCCTTCATGTGCTAGCCCCAGGAGATGGGCACTGAGAAAGTGGTTGACCGGAAAGCAGAGCTTGAGAAGGAGGATGGCCAGGAACTCCATAAACGACTAAGCCAGGTGGACCCAGAAATGGCTGCCAAGCTACACCCACATGACAAACGCAAAGTGGCCAGGTAAGAAAGCCTGGGTCCTCCATTACCCTGAGTTCCTGCAGAGCTGGGAGACAGTAAAGTGTTTGGCTTGGTAACAGTGGAGATTGATATGTTGTTCTATTCAGTGGGCTTAGAGGCCCTAACTTAGGCCCTGCCTCAGTCCAACTCCCTCAATAAACAGTTGCACCCTACTTTGTTGTTACATTTTAAAGGCATAGCACAATATTGTTTTCCCCAGGGCCTATGTAATCTTGCTTCATTTTCTATTTGATCTTTGCTTGTATAACAGTTTTCATATAAAATTTTCTGGCATGCAATCCGTTTACATTGTGACTTGAGTTTCATAATTGATTGTGCAATGCTGGGTTGTGCCCCAGCAGCTTTCCCTGTGGGAGGTGGAGTTTATAAACTGTCTCATAGGTCAGCTCTCCTTTGCACATGGAAACTTGGTTGTAGAGAAGAGAGGTGGTGAATGAACTCCTCACGTGCTTCTTTAGAGGTGTTTGCAGTTGGACTACTCACGTTACTTTCTTTTTCTGCAGTGTTCCGAGTGGTTCCTGTGTTTGGCACAGGAGACCATCTAAGGATTTACTGTGTGATAGCTACACATGTCACTTGTTATGGTAACATTGGTGCCGAGGGCTTATAAAATATTCTACTCAAAAAGATTTTTTAATACCCATGTTTCTTATACTTTTCCATTTTTCTGCCTTCAAAGAGCCATTTAAGAATACCACTGCCCCATTGTGCCCTATTGCAATGAAATTTTACATTAAAGGAAAAAGGTCTTTTTCACACAGCTGTCTGTCCTTGGATGACCACACTCTATTGCATGTGTTTTCTCCTCATTAGATGCGTTATCCCCCTAGTAAGAATGATATTCTAAGAGAAATGCTGTCTATACCTAAGTAGTATACTTTTTTTCTGTTGTTGAGATGGGGGTCTCATGTAGTCCTGACTGGCTTAACTGAGGATGGCCTTGACTCCTGATCTTGGATTTGTGTGACAGTGCTTGGAATCAGGCATTTGTCACCATGCCCAACTCCACCTACTTTATTTCAATCCAGTATTTCCATTTGTTTTTTAAACTCAGGGACATAGTGAACATTCAGTTTACAGTTCTGTACGCTGTAATTTTAGAGCCTGCCTTTCCTTAACCCTAACCCTAATCAGATCTTTATTTCTTATGGCATCCCCTTGTGCTGCTTGAGAACTGTGCCTCGGGAAGAGTCACTGGGTTCTAAGCAAGAGCTCCAGGGAAGCTGGGGACCTTTTATCATCTCTCTGGGGTAGAGTGTATTCTTCCCGTAGATAAGTGAGGTATTGTTAGGTTTTCCCTCATAGATGTTCTGAGTGACCATGGATATTGACGGACAAGGGGTCTCACTCAAGTGTTGGGGTTTCAGGAAGCAGAAGTGGGTCAGGAAGGGAAAGATCACTTTCCAGCTGATAAGTTGTGGTCACCTGAGTGGAGAGTGTGACTTTGGGAGCTCAGTTACCTCGTGCTGTCATATAATAGAATACACACAGACATGGACATCGGCTTAACAATGAGCATGTGGACTCTGTCTTCGACAGTCTTTGTTCCAGGAGAGTGTACTGGATTAGCCAGGAGCGTTCTTGATTAATTTTAGACATATTTAAAAAGAAAGTGGATGAGCTGGATGTACGGCATGCTTTGGTACTGTGGGAAAGGCACTCCAACGAGACCAGACTTGCTGGCTTGTACAGTGTGTCCCAAACAAGCTTTCACCGCTCACTTGAAAGTGAGTCTCCTTCTGTTTGTATAGAGGAAACCTGTTATTTCTGAACCCGTTTTGCTAATTCTAGAATGTGTTTTTAAAAGAACAGCGTTATTTCTCACCCAGAGTTTAGGTGCCTTTCTGAATAGCTTTAGGATTAGAGTAAAGCTGGAACTTCTTGGTGTGGGAATTTATACATGAAGTTGACAAATGAGGCTTTCTATGAGATTGTCTTTCTCTTTATTCCAGTTGAGAATGAATATTTCCTAATGGGTTTCCGTCCCCACCTCCTATTTTAAACAACTTAGGAGCTTGCAGGTATTTGAAGAAACAGGAATCTCTCACAGTGAATTTCTTCATCGTCAACATGCAGAAGAAGGTGGTGGTCCACTCGGAGGCCCTCTCAAGTTTCCTAACCCATGCATCCTCTGGCTTCATGCTGACCAGAAAGGTAAAATGCCTTCCATCTAGAGTTCATCTGAGGTAAAACATAGACTACTAGGTTCTTGTATATCTAGTGCTTAGAGCCACATGGCTGATAATAAACACTAAAGTAAGCTATTAGGTTTATTGTGTCAGTCATCATAATTTAGGCTTTATGCTGTTCTCTTAGGTATTTCTGGAAAGGGACGGAGGAGAATGTTCATTCCCAGACACCAGAGTAGAGTACAATGGGATGTACAAAGTGGAAAAGAGACTGCTATTTAGTTAGAGGAGGTTGAAAGATGAGAGTAAGGGAAGGTGCCTGTGAACGGAGTCTGACCTTGTGGTTGACTGAAGGCTGGATCCCCGACTGGCCTGAGAAATAGGTGTGATGGATAGCTAGCTAACCTGGTAGCGTTTGTGGCCAAAGTGTTATGATGCCCTGTCTGTTTCAGTGAGCATTCAGTAATGTGCCAAGTACTCTGTGGTTGCTGTGCTGTAGGAAGGAGTAAGAATTCTTGCCCTTGCAAATCTTCTGGAGGGTGGGATGATAGACAGGACTGCAACAGAGGATCTGCTCACAGTGCTGTGGACCTAAGAAAAGAGATGATGAACATTCTTTGAGGAGTAGGAAAACAAAATGGCTACCTGGGCAGGCAAAGCATTACAGTGGTGAGGTGAATCGCCCAGGCTTGGAAACATTGTTAAACTTCACACACTTGCTCCTCTGTCTCCCAGTTTTGTGAGGATTTTGGTTGGTTGGTTGGTTGGTTGGTTGGTTGGTTGGTTGGTTTTTCAAGACAGGGTTTCTCTGTGTAGCCCTGGCTGTCCTATAACTCACTTGTAGACCAGGAGGCTGGCCTCATTCACAAAGATCCACCTGCCTCTGCCTCCTGAGTGCTGGGATCACAGGTGTGTGTACTACCACCGCCCAATTTATTTTGTGAGTTTTTTGTTTTTTTTCTTTCTTTTGGTGTTTGGAGACAGGATTTCTCTGTGTAGGTAACCTGGCCATCCTGGAACTTACTTTGTACACCAGGCTGGCCTCGAACTCACAAGAGATCTGCCTGCCTCTCTCTTCCAAGTGCTGGGATTAAAAGCCTGCACCACCACCATCTGGCTATTCTGTAAGTTCTTAAGACCAGTTGGTTTACCTTTATGTATTCCAACTCTTCTATAAAATAGAAATGATAATAATAATACATATTTCATAGCATCCATTACTATTCAATAAACTAGTATTATACAAAGTTGTGAGGTTGGGAATGTGGCTTAGTAGTAGAATAATTATCTGATATGCACAAAGCTGTATTCAATTTCTAGCACTGAGAAATAAATGAATAAATAAATGGAATTCATAGTGCTTGCAGTGAGCTCCATACATGACCAGTGACCAGTCCTCAGTAAGCAAATCTTTTTTTGTTTGTTTTTTGAGACAGGGTTTCTCTGTGGCTTTGGAGACTGTCCTGGAACTAGCTCTTGTATACCAGGCTGGTCTTGAACTCACAGAGATCTGCCTGCCTCTGCCTCCTGAGTTCTGGGAATGAAGGCATGAGCTACCACTTCCTGGCTCTCAGTAAACAAATCTTAGCAAGGTAAGAAAAGGAGCTGTGCTCATTAAAGGTTGAGAAGCAGCAACAATAAAGATTTGAAGTAGGCAGTCATGTAGAAGAGTCAAACCTTACACTACAGTTCAGTATAAGCTAATGGTTTTGACTCATGGTAGAGCGAGCTATATCTGGCTGCTGCACCTGGGTGGTGATGCTCTCTCTCCCACTTAGCTTGGTATTCAGTATACACCAAGACGTCACCTGGAGATTCTGAAGTAGAAGTAACACAAAGTTAGAGTAAAAAAAATATGACAAAAGTTAAGAAAATTCACCACTGGATGGTAGTGCACACCTTTAATCCCAGCATTTGGAAGGCAGAGGCAGGTGGATCTGTGTGAGTTCCAGAACAGCCTGGTCTACATAATGAGACCCTGTTTTATAAAAAAAACAAAAGAAAACAAAAGTCAACCAGGGGACCTTCAGCCAATTGAAAAGCAGTGGGTATACAGTCTATACAATAAAGTGCTCACCCCTCATTCCAGCTATCATTATATGCTATTTAGATAATAAGAAGACATGGGTTTCTTTCTGTTTTGCTTTGCTCTTTCACAGTCCCAAGGTACAAGCAAATGCAATATGAATGTTTATATACTCCGAAATCTGAATTCCTTCATTTGGATAAAAGCTTTCCTTTGTGGCTACCTGTTCAGTTCACCATGTGAGTGTGTAGTAGGCGCCTGCCACATGTTGCTCATTCATGGCTATTTTGACTCAAGTTCTAGACGAGCGCTTGGATAAGAGAGTGGATGACATGCTTGCTGCCGGACTCCTGGAAGAGCTGAGAGACTTTCACAGGCGCTATAATCTTAAGACTGTTTCAGAAAATAGGTGAGGTTTTTGCCTTCTCTTCTGACCTACTTTCCATTGCTTGTCCGTGATTGCAAGACTATAGACATAATACTAGCTTTGGGTCTACTTACTAGTCTTTGGCCTTGGCATTGGCAAGACCTGCTCTGTTATAAGGGTAATTTACTTTGCTTTCAGACATTCCCAGGAGTTACTTTTAAGGAACTAACCTGGGGATTGATGGGGTGGGAAAGGGAGAATTTCTGCCAGTAACTGTTCACGATCTCATCAATGAGATAACATCCGAGGCCCTTGCTAGCTTTCAGAGGCTGTGGCTCATTGCTGATGCTCTCCTGTTCCCAGCCAGGACTATCAACATGGTATCTTCCAGTCAATTGGCTTCAAGGAATTTCACGAGTACCTGATCACTGAGGGAAAATGCACACCAGAGACTAGTAACCAGCTTCTAAAGAAAGGTGTGAATTCCTCCGTTTAACCTGGTCTTGGACTCCTTGGGTTATAGTCTGAGCTGAGGCTAGAAGAGTCCCAGCTAAACATCTAGATTGTTATCTGTGAAGTCTAACAGTGTGCTAATTTCTTTTGCTCTTGGACTGGGAGGGGCTGTCTTCTGACAGAAGTGCTCACCTGGATGCCCGTGTCTGCCGTATCTTTCAGGCATTGAGGCTCTGAAACAAGTAACTAAGAGGTACGCCCGGAAGCAAAACCGATGGGTTAAAAACCGCTTTTTGAGCAGTAAGTCCTACTTTTCTCCTCCTCTTCTGGATCCATTTTTGACAGCGTTGATGTCTTCTGCTCACTCAGCAAATGAACATTAGTCTCTAGATGTGTCCTAAGAATTTAGACCACAGGTGGGTCTTTTGCATAGATGATTATTCAGTGGTGTTTTCTGGTGAAGTCTCAGGAAGAAAAAAAGGAACAGTTAAGTTTCCATTGAAGAGTTTTCCTTATTCCTTGAACAGATGGTGGTGGCTACAAGCAGGAGGTAAGCAAGCTAACATGTGAGCAGGCCGGATGCTAGATCTGATTCCAACTTGAGTTTTATACCTGGAGAGCAGGCAGAAATCTGCAGGGAGCTTCCCTAGCTAACGTGGTGTCCTGGGTTTGGTGATCTTTAATAAAAAGGGCAAAGCAGTCACTGTTTACCCTTGCTTTATCTTTGTGGTCAGACACATTGTATTTGAATTGCTTCAACTGACACTTTAATTGGACAGAAATTAAGGGAAAGGGAAGAAAAGTCTCACACTGTGTCTGTGTCACTAAATTTTGTGTTATGTATAGTTGTATCGAGACTTCAAGGTGAAGGGGTAGGTATTTTACTGATAAGAACATGAAGACCTAGAGGAAGTCCAGTAACTCCCTTTCCCTACCCCCAGCTAGAAGGCAATAGAGCTCAAATACATTAAGTTAGGCTCATGTTTCTTTGAGCTCTACTGTTGGCTAGCCAGCATTCAAGCTGACCTAAGATCTCCAGTTGTGTGCTTAGGAGCTAAAAGAAGATATATTTAAGTGTAGTGAAACTCCACTCTTGTCTTGTGGATGCCTCCAGAATACACTTCTGAATCACCTCCAGTAGACTTCTGCTTTCAGGTAGAGCTTCCGTCCCTGCCCTTTGGTGCCTTTGGCCGGTGCACCTTGCTATATGGTGTCACTGCTTTTACTTTACCCTTTGTCTCCTGTCTTGATAAGTAGCGGAGATCTCCTCTTAGTCTCGGCTGAACTGAATGTTCAGAGCCACAGATTTCAAGTGTGACTTCCCTTCCCAAGTCTGACAGTAAGTCTGAAACAAAAGGCTTTTTTTGTGATAGTTTAGAACTTCCTCTTGTGGTAAGGCCATAGTAACCCTGTCTCTGAGGTAGGAAGGGTTAATGGCACAGTGTCATGTGCCTGCACCTCATTCTGTGCAGGCACAATCCTGGTGCCAGAGAGAAAGGCGCAGCTGCCCTGTAAGTCAGGAGCCACATTTGATTGGGCAGGGTTAGTCTTCTGGGATATGGCCTGGCATAGAGCCAGAGGGACTTCCCCACCCCGGCTTGGCCTTGGACCCAAGCCAGAAATAGCAGCTGGGAGCCGAGAACTTGTTGAAAGGTGCTTAGACAGGGCACAGAGGCCCAACAAAGGCCTTAGAGGAGAAAGGAAAACGTAGAGTGGCCTAGAAACAGGTGCAGAGCTTAACTAAGGCCAGGTGTGCTGTGGGCGCTGCCTGCACCCTCCTAGTCTCACCTTTCCATGTGATGGCAGGTGTAGGCCAGTCGGGTTTATGAAGAATCTTATTTGTGGTTGGCACACTCAAAAGGCCAGCACCTGCCAGCCGTTGGCATCCCAATGCCTTTGATGTCTTTTGTCCATGGGACAATGCTTCTTACCTTGAAGCAACTGACTTCACCTAGCTGTAGAAGGCAGCTCGGCGTTTTTGTAGTCTGCAGAGGCAAACTGAAGCTAAAGTATTGCAACACGGTTGGTCCAGTGGCTGGCTATCTATTCCTCCATGATACCTCCAGTCTCATGTTCATTTAGAAGTATTTACCAGAGTCTTACTGGAATCCTCCTTTAGAAGAAGGTGTTAGGAGCCTGGCATTGTACCGCTACACAACTGTAATCCCATCACTTGGAAGGTAGAGACAGGAGGATCAGGGGTCTAAGACCAACCTCAGGTAGATAGTGAGTTTGAGGACAGCCTGGGTCATGTGAGTCTCTGACTCAAAAAGCATGGAGGGCAGAGTGAGATTGAATATGACCAGCCCCAAGGCTAGTTCTTGACTTCAGTGGTATGTTGGTTAATGACTGTGGTTGTCAAATGCTATCAAGGAGTGTGAACTCTCTTCCCACAGAGAACTGTACTTTAAGATGACATAAAATTTAGAGCAGTCACTCACTCACAGCACTTAGCTTAGTTCTTCCTATAAAGTGCTGTTGGTATCAGAATAGCCCACACAGTGGTCACCAGAGCTGTTACTCCCTTTTGACTACTCTGCTGGTCAAAGAGTCTGCTCCTAAGTCTCTGTTTACATGGTCAGGCATGTTGGCTGCATGAGACAAGCTTCTGGGTCTTTAGGATTGTGGCTCATATTTATAGTAGGATTAACAGCTTGGTCAGAATGTCACTCGTTTCCCTGTGCGTCCTTCTTGAGGATTTTAAGAGTCCTGGAAACAGAATAGATTGGGTCTTGTAGATCAGGCTCTCACAATTTTTCTTTGTCATCACTAGGACCTGGTCCCAGTGTCCCCCCAGTATATGGCTTGGAAGTATCTGATGTTTCAAAGTGGGAGGAGTCTGTTCTGGAACCTGCTCTCAATATAGTACAAAGTTTCATCCAGGTGACTATTAAGGAGGCATGGCCTATTGTCGGGTTTGCAGAGTGCTTTCTTTTAGTGACACTTGTGCTGCTAATTTAGGGAGCCAAATCTCATTTCAGTAGAGTAAAGCAGCAGGGCTGGCTGCTTTTAGATCCCCAGAGATTGTTTTTACTTTCATGTTTAGAAAGGTTGTTGCTAAAATCTGTTCACAGCCCACCTGCTCTCTAGGCGATGAAAAGGGAATCTTGGGATAATCCCATTCCCCTTAATATCAGAGAATTGTCCCCATATCTCCTTGAATTGAATACCCCTCCCCTTTGCTCTCTTAGGGTCACAAGCCTACAGCCACTCCAATGAAGATGCCGTATAATGAAACTGAGAACAAGAGAAGTTACCACATGTGTGACCTTTGTGACCGGATCATTATTGGGGACCGGGAGTGGGCAGGTAGAGTATAGATGGGGGCTGTGTGTGGGATCATGAGAACTATGTTAGGGTGGGGGGGTCACACTTCCTAGAACTTAGTCTTCAGTAGTTGAATGCTGGAGTCAGCTCTGTAACAGGACAGACAGATCCCTGAGAACCTTTCCCAGACTAGGAGTTGCCTCCATGTACTGAAGTGTACGCGCCCATCACCCTTCAGCTGTAGCTGGGATAGGAGCTTTGTACTGAGGAGTTCCTTCTCCCTTCCTGCTTAGAACTCACTTGTGGGACAGAGAAATAGAGGCATCAGGCAATTCCTGCAAGCTGGAGGGGAGAGGGAGGGAGGAGATGTGCCCAGGGTCCTCAGAGGCCAGGGGTCTTTGCAGTGCTCTCAGGCTAAGTTGTTGAACTGGTGACTGACTCAAACTGTGATGAAAAGTGGGGGGAAAGCTGTGAGAGCTAGCCTGAGCTGGCCTGAGCTAGCCTGAGCTAGCCTGACCCAGCCACAGGAAGCCTTGTTAGAGTACTGCTTTGCTTGGATTCTTGGAGTAGATGTTTCTCTCCATATCAGCCCATAGAATGATTAGGTCTATTAACTGACATCTCTGGCAAAATGAACTCCATTGTTAGAGACTGGCGACAACTGTGTGCCCAAGCAGCAGAAGAAGCCTTGATTGTTGTTGGTGTATAATGATGAGAGGGGAAGAGAGAGAGCGTCTGATTGCTTTGTAAAGGAAACTTAGTGCTTCGATTTGTCGAATGTCCTTTGGGGAGAGCCATAGAGAAGCAACATTTGTGAGCCTTTGTGAGCTTGGCTGTGTGAGCCTTCTATAGTGCCATCTGTCAGTCCTGCTCCCGTCTCCTGCTGCCGTGGAGAGCAGCCCAGAGCCCAGGTTTGCCTAGTTAGAGGATGAAGCTGCCTCTTCTTCCCACACAGATTTCTTCAGCTTCTAAACTCTCCCATACCTACACTTCCAAACCTTAAAAAATAAGTTAAAAGTATGCTTTTACTATGTGTAAAAGAGTTTAACTTAGGCTCTGTGGGTAAAGGAGCTTGCTGGCACATACATGCACAATTAAGTAAATAAATAAGTTTAAAACTTAGCATGACCACCTTCCTTTTAGATGTTCCCAGAGATTTCTTTGCAGAAGAACAGGATAGTAAAAATGAGCCTGTGCAAAATAGTCATCGGGTAAGAATGAGAGGACCGGCAGGTTCATGCAGCAGAGGGCTGAGCTCACTGCTGTTCCTGCCCACAGAGCTTTAGCCAGTGTGTAGCCAAGGCCTGGGAGGTGACGGCAGGAGGAGACTGTTTGAGGTCACTCTGGGCTACATAATAAGACCTTGTCTTGAGCAAACAATAGCAAACATATCTACTCTGTTATTTATTAATAGTTAAAGAAAAAGATTGTATAGTTAAATTTAAATGTTTGGTTGGTTTGGGTTTTTTATTATTTTATTTTTGTTTGTTCTTTTAGGATTAATTCTAGAAAACTCTGATGACTTTTTGTTTATTTGGTTTTTGTCTTTTCAGCACATATAAAATCCAAATCTCACTTGCACCAACTGAAGAAAAGAAGAAAGTTGGACTCAGATGTTGTCCCTGCTCTAGGAAGCCAAAGTAGTTCCCCAGACTGTGACCCGGAACTTAAGGAGGGGAAGTCCCCAGGGCAGCAAGATCAAGAGCTGAAGGCCAGGGTTTAAGAGACGTGCCTAGTGGCCTTTGCAGAGATGTGGAGAGAAAGTCCAGGAGGGGAGGGGAGTGTTGGTCTTCCACGCCCTACTGGGCTGAGGAAGGCTTGGCAGAGACCCTCCCCCCATCTTCTTTATTCTGTGGTGTGGTCTGCAGTGGAGACAGCAGGCCTTTCAGCTCCTGTGTGGTTGTTGTGTCTGGTAATGATGCAGTCCAGGGTGGGAGTTTTGTTTTGTTTTTTTCTTCTTTTCTTTCTTTGAACCTTAAAGGTTTTATTTAGAAAGAGGCACAGCTTGCACATTTGCTACTTGAGGATCTTTTTTCGTGGTGAATACCAAGATTCAGTGCATCCTTTAAAAGAGTTCTTGTCCCTGGTTCTGGCTAAAAATATCTCACTTCCAGATGCTTTTGTAAATGACTGAAGTATTATAAGGCACAGTCAGGAGTTCTGGATGTGAGAGAACGGCAGGAAGGAGCAGCCCAGAGGGATGGTTAGGCGAGCTCCACAGAAGAGGGAGGGTCAGGCTGACGTGGTTGTGACCTGGGTCTTGAAGACTAGAGAAAGAATCTTGAGTCTGCTTCTGTGCATAATGGCTGCCACTGCTGTCTATCTAGGGCAGAAATTATACATTCTTTTGAAATGTAAATAAAAAGGTTTGTAAGCCCTCTAGTTTATACACAGCATGCTGTGTTCTCATGCCATAGCTTTTTCTCCAACTGTGCATTCATTATAGGTGTGGCTGTATCGGAACACTCACATTCCTCAGAGATTCCCTGAGGGTCCTGTCTGGGGATCTGTTAACTCCAACTGAAGCCCTGTCTCTGGGAGTGCCTTTACTAAATACCTATTTGTATATAGTGTAGAATTCAGTATGTTGGGATGTGTGATTCAGCACTACACATTTACAATGTTGGGTAGTCATCACTACTATTTTTAAAGTATTTTCATCATTCCATTAGAGAACTCTACACCCAGGAAACTGTAATTCTCCAGATGCCTTTGTTCTAAATCTGTTATGTGAGAGACCCTGAAGTAGGCCAAAGGGAACACAGAGGTGGGAGTCATTCTGCTTTCAGGGAATCTAAGAAATATTCTTGTAATCAACCAGTTCAGACAAGAGTACTGAAGGTCAGTGGAAAGGGAGAGGAAGGAGTCAGGCAAGAAGTAGCATCTTGAACTCAGCTTGGTGGCGCACGTCTTTAATCACAGCAGTGGGGAGGCAGAGGCAGGTGGATCTCTCTGAATTTGAGGCCAGCCTGATGTACAAAGTGAATTCCAGGACAGCCAGGGCCATTACACGATGAAGAAAAAAAACAGGAAGAAGGAGGAGCATCTCTCTGTTCTTGAAAGACTGTATAAGAAGAATCATGTGTTCCAGGCCAACCTGGGCTACGTAATGAAACCAAAACAACTCCCATACAATAGCAAACCCAGAACCCACCTGGCATGGTGGCAGCCTGCTGCTGCTGGTAATGATGAGGATGCTCGCCTGTGTATGGTTTTACCTACATGTATGTCTGCACACCATAAGCATGCCTTTCATCCCATACCTGGAACTTAACTAAGTTTCATATGATTGTGAGCTGCCGTGTGATTTGCTTCGGAATCAAATCCAGACCCTCTGAAAGAGCATCAGGTGCCCTTAACTGGTGAGCTGTCTCTTCAGCTCCACAATATGCTTCTAATCTCATTGCTAGGGAGGTAGGAACAGGGTATCTGGGGCCTTCTGGCTGGCTAGCCTAGCATATATGCTGCTAGCAGGCGAGTGAGAGGCACTGTCAAAAAAGTAAGGTTGTAAGGCCACTTTCTGTGAAAGCAAGTTCCAGGGCAGCTAGGACTGTACACAGAGAAACCCTATCTCGAAGAACCAGTGGCTTGGTGAGTAAAGTACTTGTTTTGGAAGAACAAGAACCTAGATTCTGATCCCCAGCAGGGGGTTGCGGGGCCTGTGGTAGAGAGGGAAGAGCAGGGATAGGCAGACCTGTAGAGCCAGCCTAGCCAATCCTTAAAGCTCCAGGTTCAGTGTGAGGCCCTGTCTCAAGGGGGGAAAAATGGTAGAAAGCTAGTGAGGTGATTCAGGAGGTAAAATTACCTACGTAAAAATAAAAAGTAAGTAAGTGGATGTAGTTAGTATAGGCATCTGTAACCCAGAACGTGGGAGCCGGGGACAGGAGGATCATCCGAAGCTGTCTGCACAGCTAGCCTGGAGTTGCACAGCATGCTCGAACAAGGTGCACTCTGGCTCAGTAAGGTAGAGAACTGACTCCCAAAAGTTGTCTTCTGGCTGCCATATGTGCGTCACACATGCCTACAAAGTAATTGTTTTTAAGGCAGAGTGCCTCGACATGTGCACGCGCGAGCACGCACACACACACAACATAAGGTGAATGGTGCCTGAAGGGGAGTGACATATAAGGCCATGTCTCTGGCCTCCACCCACACATGCACACAAACATGTACATTGCCCCCACATACATACACAAAATAGAAGCAAAGGAACCTTCAGTGTGGTTGCATGTGCTTTGGACGCTATATAGAAATCGGGGTGAAAGACTTTGACCTCTTAGCAAAAGTATTGACTGCCTCTTAATATGTATATTCTCCCGTCAAAGAAGCCAACCATGCACCCATGCCTCCATCTTGTTCTTCATGTCTGATTCCCCGGTCAGTGTATTACCTGCTTGAGGAGTTGTAGCAGGCTGGGAAGCCATAGCGTGAGTGCAGACTGCTTACTGTGAGCCAGACAGTGCCAAGCACTTGAGGTACATTATCTTCCACCAGCCTTGGAGCAAGAGGCTGAAATCTGTGGGAGATACAGGCCCAGGAGGAGTGCAGCTAGCTGGGAGTGGGGTGGGGCGGGGCTGGCCAAGAGGCCTGCAGATTCTAACCACTGAGTGTTGTGTAGAGCTGACTTTGGGGAGGAAGCTTAGTTTCTAAAATGCCTCACTTGGATTGCTAAATATATTTTAAAGCTTTAGAAATGTCAGCAAACAATCAAGAAAAACAAGTTTTACTAATTCTACCTCAAAAAGCCTTTAATCCTTCCATCTGAAGTACCAGAGCAATGACTTCTGTGAACTCAATTCTGTGTTGGAATCTGAGCGTGTCCTTCCTCCCTCACCCCACCAGTCAGTGTCTAATCGCTTATTAGGTGTCTGCTAAGTTCAGGGCACGATGGGTGAGCCCACTGCTCACGTTAGAAACAGATCAGAGATGAGATTGCTGCAGAAAAGCCTGGGGTGGGCAGAGCACTTTAGGCAGGCATCTCCCGCCACTTTCTAGTGTGGGCAGAGAAGGAACATAGCCTTTGGCCCTTAGGTGTCATCAGACAACGAGAGAGAGAGACTCGTCAGCTTTTGTGCAGGGGGAAGCTGAACCGAGAACATGGGTGGACCAGTCACAGCAAGTGTGGGGAAGCCAGGACACCTGGGATCTCTTCACCCAGCAAACCGTTGTGGCTAGCTGGGAAGGACTGTGAGACAGCGTGAGCTGTTTGCTCAGACTGCGCCATCTGGCCTTAGCTAATCCTAGACAAGCAGAGTCTTTCATCCAGGTTGCTTCAGTTCGCCACCAGCAGTGCTGTCTGAGTGCCTTTGGTGATTAATTCCAGCACACAGTGAACAGTTAGACTCATCTTTCTCTTAGTAGCAGAAGGAGGAGGAGGCAGAAGAGGAAGAAATTAAGAGTTACTTTTAGTGTGTGTGTGCGCGCGCGCGTTCATGCGTGCATATGTTTGTGTGTTTACACTTTGCTGCAGATGCCCTGGGAGGCCAGATTCATCAAAGCCTCTGGAGTTGGAGCTATAGGTGATCAGGAGCTTCCTCATGTGAGCGTGTCCCTTGCATGGTCTTAGCTGAGGCATTTCTCCAGCACCCCCTACCCTCATTTTATTTAATTTTTTGAAATAATGAGACTGTACCTTTAAAAACAAGGTGTGAGGAGAGAGCTGAAAAGTCCTCTGACCCCCAGCCACAAATCCTTTTTAAAAGGAAGTATTTTGGAGCTGGACAGATGGCCCAGTGGTTAAGAGCACTGGCTATTCTTCTAGAGGTCCTGAATTCAAGTTCCAGTGCTCACATGGTGACTCACAACCATCTGTAATGGGGTCTGATGCCCTCTTCTGGCGTGCAGACATACATGCAGACAGAACACCTCATATATAAATAAATGTTTTAACAGTACTTTGAAGAGAGTTAAGCTCTTACTCTACGACTGTCTTGCTTGGACTGTGAGATGACAGTAGGTGTGCTTGAACCAAGCCTGATGACCTGTCTAGCATTCATTTCCGGGACCTTCAGGGCAGAAGGAGAGCCAGTTGTCTCAGATCTCCACACGGATGCCTGTAGAAGCGTGCATATACAAGGAAGTGGAAACTCTGAAACGTAAGTTTAAAAAAAGAAGCCGGGCGGTGGTGGCGCACGCCTTTAATCCCTGCACTCAGGAGGCAGAGGCAGGTGGATCTCTGTGAGTTCGAGGCCAGCCTAGTCTACAGAGCGAGTTCCAGGACAGCCTCCAAAACAATGCAGAGAAACCTGTCTCAAAAAACAAAACAAACCAGTATTTTATTTTAAGGCCTAATCATAAAGAGTTCATCTTTGGTCTGCACCCCTGGTGTGCTCCTTTGTAATGTTCAGTAATTATTTGTACACAGTCCCCTTCCACAGTCAACGAAGAACTTTCCACTTTAAACACAGCACATACAAACTTTGGAAGGGAGGAGTACGATGGGCTGCTGGGATTACTTGCCTATTATTGTAAGGCCCTGGGTTTGATCCACAGCATAACAAAACCAAAAAAATTCACAGCATATTAAAAGCTAACAACACTACAGGCATGCGCGTGCATGCACACACACACAAACAAACACAAACAAGCTTTTGTGAGTACAATGACTGTTTCCCCAGCATGGAGAAATAGTCAAGTACTTATTGAGTCACTTACATAGAAGCTAAGTGAGTCTTAACATAAGTGGTTTGTTTCAACCATTAAATGGTCTTTACACAAGCTGAGGAAATCGGGGTGGGTAGTGGCTACAGGCAGGAATTTCAGTGCTTGATTAGGACCTACTTCGATGCAGTTTTCTACAATGGTAACTGGTCATTTGTAAAGCCATTCTAAATAGTCACAAAGAGGGGGCATAGTTGTATTAGTTAAAGCAAAAGGCTAGGCTGCTGTAACAAAGAGACTCAACAATGCAGTGGTTTAAAGAACAGAGCGTTCATTCTTCCTCATGTAACAGCTCTGGGTTCTGAGTTAGCCTTTCTGAGGAGAGCAGACCAGGTCAGTGGAGCAACTCTGCTCCTGGTGGTCATTTGGGGACACAGGTTGCTTGTATCATGTTGCTCCAGCATCCTTTGGAGCACTGTCCTCATCTGTGCTTGAGGCCATCATCACTGGTGCCAGCCAGGAAGAAGGGAAAGGGAGAAGGGGCAGGAGGTGTGCCTGGCCCCTGAAGGCTGGGACACTGCAGGGTCCTCTGCCAGTCTGCACATTGCTCACAATCCATCCATATGGCCGCACCCACCCACCAGAGAGACATGAACCAAGTCCTATGCCAAGAACTGAGAAGAGCAGATTTGGGTAGACAGAGTGTAGCCTTTACTAAATCAGTATCCTAGAGAACTAAATTCCAGACTTGTTTAGTAAATTGCCTCTGTTAACTTGTTAGGAGCCAATTTCTTTCTTTTTTTTCCTTTCTTCTTTCCTTTCTTTGTGAAATTATAGGCCAGGCATGGTGGTGCATGCCTTTAATTCCAACAGTTGGGAAGCAGAGGCAGGAGGACCTCTGTTTGAGATCAGACCATTCTACAGAGAGAGCTCCAGGACAGCCAGGGCTACATGGAGAAATCCTGTCTCAGAAATCCAAACCAGAGAGAGAGATCACTGTCACATAACCTGACCTCTGAACTATCTGAAAAAGCTGAACACAAGGAAATCCTGCCTGGTAGAAATTGAAGAAAAAAAACATTGCAGGAATCTGAAGCTCTTGAGCCTTGATCTACTACCAGGGTGCTGAAGAGGTGGGGGTGGGGGGTGTACATGGAAATTGAGCTCTGATACGACTACCAGGTTTCTTATTTCTTTTATAGGGGGAAACCCACTGTTTGTAATTAAAGCTGAACACACTCACACCCCTTATCTGTTCTGTATGTAATTGTTAAGTAGCCTCTTCATGGAATTGTCTCCATTCCAGGGAGAATTGTAAGAATTAAGTGGGCCCCATTTGTGAAGAGTACGGCCCTTGTCACTGCAGTGTCTAACAGACAGTAGGTATGAGTTAAATTGCTGCTAACGTGTTGATTTATGTATGTTGTCAGTTCTCAGTACTTACTCAGGGCGAGTTCTGACTTGGCCAACTGAACACTTTAAGGCCAAAACTGATGTATCCATGTTACCTCCCAGGTTTGGTTGGTCAGTGTGTGCTTGCTTGAATAGGTCTGTTTTCTTTTCTGTCTCGGTTATGGCCCAGCTGTTGATGTCACTTGAAGTGCCATGTTCCCCTACTCTTTGCCTAGTAAGCACACATTCCAAGGCTGGGATCTCTTGCCCTCCTCTAGAGAAAAAGCTTCTTTGGGATGGAGAGATGGCTCAGCAGTTAAGACCACTGACTGCTCTTGCAGAAGACTGAGGTTCAGTTCCCAGCACCCCACACCAAGCTGCTCACAACAGCTTATACCTTCAGCTGCAGCCCTACACCTCTGGCTTCTGAGGGCCCTTGTGCTTCTGTGTACACACACGCACACACATCAAAAATAAAAACTGGCTGTTGGTATGGTTTTTCCTTGCTGTGTGGTCACTGACAGCTTACACATTACACTAGGGAGGGCTTACACAGTGCTTGCCGCCAGGCACCATCCTATATCTTTACCCATGCTAACTCAGACTAATTCAGGAGCCACTGCTGTTGTTAGCTCTGTTTTACAGTTGAGGGAAGCAGTTAAGGGCTGGCTGGGATCTGAAGCGAGGTAGGTAGCTCCAGTCTGCTCAGTATCCCTGTTCTGCTGTGACACATCCCTCCTGTAACTGTCTTGCTCCCACTGGACTGGAAAATTCTGCCAGGGTGTGAATCCTTAAGTCCAACCTGGAACAGTAGTGGATAGTCAGTAGATAACCTGGCTGGATTCTGCAAGGCACGCCTAGTCAAGGCTACCCTTCATTGGGCACTCACTGTGCCAGGCATTGTAGGCTAAACGTGTACTTCATAATGGTCCCTTAGACAGGGCAGGCATTGTGTTATCACCACTTTACAAAGGGACGAAAATGCAGAGAACGCTGGCAGAGCCGACATCTGAGTAGTAGCTGGGTACTAGAAAGTGCTCTGGGGGGCAGGGCCCCTACACAGGCTGCTGCTGGAGGCTCTGCAGTTGTGTGTGAATTCAGGCTGGAACCCACCAAGTATGAGATCAGCCTTCAATTCATAATGATCTTCCAGCTTTGGCTTCCAGGGGCAAGCATTATAGGTATCAGCCAGGATGGCAATGTTTGTTTGTTCTTTTGGCTTTAAGCCAGGCTTTACACTTTTTCTAGCTTTATTGAGGTTTTATTGACAAAACTACATATCTAAGGTATATAATACAATGATTTGATTATATATTATGAGGTGCTTTACCCATTTAGTTAACATCTAATAACATTTGTTGAACTAAGATGTGAGGCCAGATTAGGCTGACTCCAGACTCATGCCCTGATTGTCTCATTCTTCAAGCATGTTCCTGTAGGGGCTTTTAATGAACATATCATTTGTATTGTGTCTACTTCTAAGAAGGACCCAAGAGGAGAAAAGGAAAAAAATCCTAAAGCACTAACTATATTAAAGACTCAAAGGATTATAAATGAGCTCAAATAAAAAGGTGAAATGTCTCATTAAACACAAAGACAGAGCTTGTGGTGATGCTTGCTCTTAATCTGTGATCAGGATCCTGAGGGAGGGAATGCCACAAGTTTGAGGCCAGCTTGGGGCCCAGTGAAAGAGACCTGTGTCAAGTCCATCCCCACCACAATAAATTCAAGGCCAGGAAAACATCTAGTCCTTAGACACAACTTGTACCACTTAGCCATGGCTGTGGAGATGCCCTCTGCCTCTCCGTTTACCCCTTGTCTGGAAACAGGCTTTCTCTACTGAGTGGAAGCAGTAATAACACTTAAGCCTTGCCTCATAACAGTCTGGGTACCAAGAGGTCCCTCACACCTGCCACCTGGTGTCAAGTGCTGACCAGGATGTGGAGGGATGGGAGCAGAGCTTGCACACTGTTGGTGAGCATGTGAAATGGTGCAGCTGCTGTGCAAAAAAATATTAAAACGGAGGGGCTGGGGGGTGGCTCAGTGGCTCAAAGCACTTACTGCTCTTGCAGAGGTCCCAGGTTCCTTTCCAGTACCCACATCTCACAACTGTCCATAACCTCAGCTCTAGGAGATCCACCCTCTCTTCTGGCCTTCATGGTCACCATGTTCAGTGGGCAAAGGCTTGTTGTACAAGCATAAGGGCATGAGTTCAAATCCCCCTATACTCATGTAAAAATGGGGTAAGTCCATGTGCCTGTAACGCCAGTGTTTGGAGGCAGAGGTGGGTGGATTTCAGGAACCAGCTTAGCCAAAACAACAAGCTGCTAGTTCAGGGAGAGACCTTGTCTCACGAGACTAAAATGGAAAGCAGTGGAGGAAGACACCTACACCCAGCTCTGGTGAATGGACATGTGCACTATACACACTCATACATGGACACCGCACAAAAATGCCACACATAAAAATTGCCATATGACCTAGCTCTTCCACTTCAGAATGCATATTTCAAAACCCAAAGCAGCATCTCAGAGATATCTGTATACCTGTTTCCATAGCAGCAGCAGTAGAATTCACAATAGCCAAGGAGAGGCAATAACCCAAGTGTTCCTCAGGAGATGGCTGGATGAAGGAAGACTGTCACGTGCTGCCTGATGAGTGAACTTTGGTCACATGCTGCTAAATGAAATAAGACAGCCACTGAAAGATGAACGGGGACAGTTCCCCTTAAGGCATCCAGAGCGCATAAGCAGGAAGTACTCTGATGGCTGCCAGGGCCCAAAGGGAGGGGCAAACAGATTTTTTAGTGGTTTAGGATTTGGGTTTTGCAAGATGAAAAAGGGCCAGATTCTGGTTGCGTGAGAGTCAGCCTGCCCAGTGGTGGTGAACCATCATCACAAGTGGTTGAGCTGATGACTTTTTTTTCTTTTTTCTTTTCTTTCTTTCTTTCTTTTTTCTTTTTTCTTTTTTTCTTTTTTTTTTTTTTTTTTTTTTTGGGTGGGGAGGTTTCAAGACAGGGTTTCTCTGGATAGCCATCCTGGAAATTACTCAGCTGACCAGGCTGGCCTCAAACTCAGAGAGATAGTCCTGCTTCTGCCTCCTAAGTGCTGGGATTAAAGGCTTGTACCACCGTCCCCCACTGCCCCCAGCTGAGCTGATAACTTTTAAGACTCCCTCCATCCCAGACTTTTTCATGATTCATTTTTATTTTACATGTATGAATGTTTTGCCTGCATGTATGTATGTGCACCAATTTGTGCGGTGCTTGGCAAAAGCTGGGAGAAGGCATAGAATCCCCTGGGACTACTGTTACAGTTGTCAGCTGCCATGTGGGTGCTGGAAATCAAATCCAAGTCATCTGGAGCAGCAGCCAGTGAGTGCTTTTAACCTCTGAGCCATCTCTCAAGACCCCAGTGAAAATAATTTTTTTTAAAAAAGAGTCATGTGTGATGTTCTACATTTCTAAGCCTGAAGCTTCCAAATTCCAGGAAAGCCTGAGCTACCAAGAAATGTGTGTGTGTGGGGTGGGGGTGGGGGTGAGTCCATGGAAGAGATTCATTAGCCCAGCTTGGATGTAGTACTTACTCTGAGGCCCATCAGTCATACTGGGATGGACTTCTAAAAGGATGGGGCAGTTCCCATGGAAACAAAATAGACATAATGGATTTGCAGTCATTCCTAGAAGGTGTGTGGGGTTGGAAGAAGGGGAAGGGTGCTAGATACAATGGTGCATCTCCACTGTAGAGTACTGCCTGCAGGGAGCATGGCCTGTTCTCTAGCAGCAGAGCTGGGCTTAAGCTAACTCAAACTCCATGTAGGTGGCTCTGCCATGTCTCCATCAGATATCTGTAATAGTCACTCCCTATAAATGTCAGCAGTGTTTGTACAGAGCAACTTATCTCACAAGCCCTTGTCAAAACATCCTTTGCATAAATGAAGAAACAGAGTCAGCATTTAAGTGACCTAACAAGGTTGTCATTATTTCACTTGTGAAGGACCAAAGGCCAGTGTGAACGGGTTTAGGTATAAAGGAGGATTTATTGACTCACGGCATCTGAGGAAGAGTCGAGCCTGAGTCCCCCCACTCTCCAAGGGCAGATGATGCAGCTGGGCTTCAGAACAACTGCCACCAAAGACTCAGACACTGCCAGCTCTGTCTCTTCCATGCTTGTCTGTTTGCCTGCTACATTTTCCCTCCATGCCAACCAATGTTGCTCACAAGGCCGTGAAGCTCCCACACATTGCATGCACTGCAGAGACGTGGTCCTGAGTCCCTCGTCTGTTCCTGGTTAAAACTGAAAGGTGTGTGTTTTTATTCCCACTTGGATCAAACAGAATATTATCTCCACAGTGTGACGAGAGTGCAGCTGGAGGAAAGTTTTCTGAACGTGGTAGAGATGGGATCGGTGTCCACAGTAGTGATACAGGATGAATCCCAGGTCTCCCAGATGCCACGTTGGATAGCACATGTTACCTAGGGCTTGTCTCCCCTGGTTGACTCCATCTCTGGAGTCCCCTGGGATGATGTATGATCAGGTATGAAGCTGGGATCATACTTTGAGTCACCAGATGTGGGATAATGAAGACTACTAAAGCCTATGTCATCTGCCTGAGCATCAGTGTTAATTTCAAGGGATTTGAGAGACATAGACTTCCATATAATGTTATTTGTAGATTCAAAAATGTCTGTTCTAGTTTGGCCTGGTGGTACAAAGCCATAAACCCTGTTTCTTGGGAGGCTGAAGCAGGAGAAGGTTAAGGCCAGCCTGGACAACTTGGAATCTATTTCAAAGTGTAAAAACAAAAACTTTTGAGTATATAGTCAGTGACAGAGAGCTTGCCTCGTATGTGTAAGGTCCTGGGTTGGTTCAATCACCAGAACCAGTGAAAACTAAAATGTCTGTCCTGCTGGATCTGTATGCGGTGAAGCCGTGTGGGAAATGATGGCTTCCCATGGCACAGAAGCACCAGCCCAGTCCCCAAGCCTTTACAATCAGTTAGCCTCTTCTCTACCCTCTCTCCTGCTTCCTTCCTTCTCCTCTCCTCTGGCTCCCCCTTTCTTGTTTTCCTGAGTCGGAGTCTCCCTATGTTGTGTCAACTGATCTCCTGGTCTCCAGCCACTCTCTTGCCTGGGGCCTCCCGTGTAGGGGACTAGTTGTGCTCACCACAATACCTGGTTGCAAGCAAACTTTGTAAGTGTGCTTCAGACACTGCACTCTCTGTGGCTTTAATCCCAGCACTCAAAGACTGTATGCTGAGACCCTGACTCAGAAACAAGACCAGAAACAACCCCCAGAGACCATGGTCTCCTTCACAGCCTCCACAGCTTGCAGGATTTCCATGCCAGTGTGGAAGGAGTCTGAGAATAAGGTTCAGTTATTTTCAGACAAAATTTTTGCTTTAACACAACTTTTTTAAATTAAAAAACTGTTTCACATTTTTGTTGTTGTTGTATTGGTGGTTGTTTTTTGAAACTCTCACCATGTGGGCCTGGCTGACCTGGAACTCACTGTGTAAACCAAGCTGGCCTTAAACTCACAGAGATCCTCCTGCCTCTGTCTCCCAAGTGCTGGGATTAAAGGTGTGCACTGTTGTGCCCAGCACATTAATTACTTGTTTGTTTGGGCAGGAGGATTGTGCACTGACATTCATGTGAAGGCCAGAAGATAGCTTTTTGGAGTCAGCGCTCTCCTACCATGTGAGTTCTAGGAATTGAACTCAGGTCATCAGGGTTGGTGGCAACCTCCTCTACACACTGAGCCATCTTGCTGGCCCTGAATATAGACTTGTCTTATCCTTAGATCACCCTGCTGAATAAAGCTACACATGGATTCCACTGTTCTGTGCAGAGCTTGGGTTTTGGTCCCCAGGTCCCTCTGCTTCAGTCACCTTCCCTGTGGGACATGTTTTGAGATTCATTGATTTAGATGAGCTGCTTCATAGCAGCAGATGGAGAAACAGCCCCTGAGAGGCTAGGCAGTCACCCACAGCAAATCAAGCTGCAGCCCCTGCCTGCTGGTTTAGGGTATGTGTGTTCTTTGTACTGTATGGTGACACTTCTCTGGATCTTTTGAATAAACCTCCAACAAAAGCGGTTGTATTTTTCTTCTATCACATCTTAACTTGTACTGAACTAGCACGAAGGTGAGTAAAGGATTCTGGGAGTCTAATCTCATAAACAGATAAAAGCTTTATAATTAGGAATGTGTTATGTATTCAGTAGACTTAATGAGTGCTTGCCGTTCAATGTTCTAGGTGCTAGACACCAGTGAACAAGACAGTTCCTGTCTTCAAAGGGTTCCAGCCTTCCGTGCCATTGGAGGGGGCGGTGGTCTCTAAATGCTAAAGAGAGGCTATCGGGAAAACACACATGGCTTTACCTGACCTGGGCAGAGGATTCTGGGAAGACTTTCCCTAAGAAATGGCATCTAAGACTCACTGGGAGTGAGTCTGACAGAACAGCAGGAACTGGCGATGGAGTGCACTGTAGGCCATCTGTCAGAAGATAGCTGTCGCTGGGTCTGCGGGAGAGATAACCTGAAGCTATGTGAACGGTGGGCTGGCTAAGGGTAGTTCAGACACTTAGCTGGTAGGGCTGGGAATGTAGCTCATTAGCAGAGTGACTCACCCGCACAAGGTCCTGGGTGCAGTTTGCAGCACAAAAGAAAGGAAAGAGAAAAAGAAGGAACTGGGTGTTTTGGTTGAGCCGTGGTCTCATTCAGGTCCATAGGTAGTGTCTGTGAGTCATCAGGATTGACTGTATCTGAAACTGTGGAAGACGAGATCTCTGGAGCAGGGGGCAGAGCAACGAGAGGAATGGTCCAGAGGGAACCTTGAACAAAGACACAACATCTCAAAGAGCTTTGAGAGGGGAGTAGTAGTAAGGAAGCTGGAGAGAGACCAAGTATAATAAGTATTTTAGTGACAAGGACATCAGTGGTGACCTTGGTTAGAAAAGGGCCAGCTGGGGCTAGAAAACAAGCCACATTTTAGTGGCTTGAAGAGAGACAGGAGAGGAGGTGGCAATGGTGCCTTTGAAGTCCTGAAGGGAAGGAGCAAGGCTTGGGGTTCGGAGAAAGTTTTCCTTTGTTTCTGAGACTTTCCCAAGATTAAATATTAGCTGGTAGGAGCTCACGGTGACAGCTGTTAGATGTGGCTTCTTCCGTTTGTGAAAGATGTAGAGACCTGCCTTGTTCCTTCATGCTGTCCGTAGGTGGAAATGGGCTCATCAGCTCATCCCTTTTCCTCCAGGCAGTTGTCTGCTTTCAAGACTGAAATCTGGGAAACCCCTCAGAGAGGTAAAACAAGAAGGCTGTCTGCCCTGAGTTGCAAAGCTAGTGAGTTCCCTGAAGGTTATAAGGAGCTACCACACTCAGAAAAAGCCTACTGTTGGAAGAGACCTGGTTGATTTTTCAGTTCAAAAGACGCTACATAATTAACTTAGAAGCAGCAATCCTACAAATGGACTAATTGGAGATAAAGAAGGATTAGAAGATGATTAGGAATGTGGTTACTAAAAAAGGAAAATGAAAAAAAAACCTGCCTGGAAGCAGTGAATGGCAGGATGAACACAGCAATAGATTCAATAAGTAACGTGAACTCACATGGTCTACCACATAAGAAAACTGACTAAGATCTAAGAGCTAGGAGGGGACAGTGATGGAAAATGGAGTTAAGAAACCATAATGGATGGACTCTTGGCTGCTAACGAACTAGATGATGCGCATGTTGAGTGCCTGCTCAATGGCAAACCCTCTCCAAATGAGAACATGGCCAGGGGTGGCAGTTCCATGGGGCAAAGACTACCCTCCCAGTCTCGCATATAGTGAGAAGGAAGCAGAGAAGTTGCGCGCGTTGGCGAGGGTCGGAGGCTGGAAGCCTTGCTCTGAAGTGCTGTGTTGTGTCACCACTCATTTTGAGGCCAAATTATTTAGGCAGACATCCGAGTGTCTTGTACTGTCTCCCAGCAGCAAGACTCACCTAGGAGCGAGACAGACTGGGTCCCTTCTTGGCTAGAGCTTACTTCTAGTAGAAAGAGGGAGAGAAAATATGCAGGCAGACCACAGGAACGGTTCAGTGAGTCCTGGGAGGCAAAGATGGAGAAGCTGGGAAGACTGAGATGTGTTGCTTCCGCCTCAGAAGGGAGAGTGGGGAAGACCCTGTGAGGAGGCGCCATTACCTTTAGTCAGGCTTGACATGGAATCGGTCACAATAGCACAAAACAGAGGGACCTAACTGTAGGTATGGCAGTGTCCAGCTGGGGCTGATCTTGGTTTGTGGTCAAGGCCTAGACAGATGAGAGTGGTGACCACCGTGTGGGCGCAAGAAGTTTGTCGGTGTCTCTGGGTAGATTCAGGCAGAACCTGGTAGGCTGAGGAAAGGAATTTGTATTTTAGTTTAGTTGCAACAGAAGGAACATTTTTAGGTTTGTTTATTTGCCTAAGGAAAAATATGCTCTAATTTGTGGGTTAAGGATGAGTCTGAGCCAGGTGAGACAGCACTTGCATGGATTCCCAGCACTTGGGAAGCTAAGACAGGACGACTGAGAATTGGAACATAATGACACCCTACCTTAAAAAACAACCCTGCGGGCTGGAGAGGTGGCTCAGAGGTTAAGAGCACTGACTGCTTTTCCAGAGGTCCTGAGTTCAATTCCCAGCAACCACATGGTGGCTCACAACCATTTGTAATGAGACCTTGTACCCTCTTCTGACATGCAGGTATAACTGTGTACATAATAAATAAATCTTTAAAAACAAAAACAAACAAACAAACAAAAAACCATGCAGGGCAGTGGTGGCACATACCTTTAATATTAACCCAGTACTCTGGAAGTAGAGGCAGGGAGATCACTGAGTTCCAGGCAAGCCTGGGCTACATGTTGAAATCTGTCTCAAAAAAAAAATTAGGGGCTGGAGAGATGGCTTAGTGGTTAAGAGCACTGACTGCTCTTCGAGAGGATCAGGGTTCAATTCCCAGCACCCGAATGGCAGCTCACAACTACCTGTAATTCCAGTTCCAGGGGACCCAACACCCATGGCAAAACACCAATGCACATAAAATTGCAAAAATAAATAAATAAAATTAAATTAAAAAAATTAATAAATGAGAGGTCAGGTTTGGTGGTGTGCGTACTTGGAAAGCAGAGGTAGGTGGATTGATGTGGGATGTCCTATGTGTTGTGAATATGTATTGCTTTTATTGGTTGATAAATAAGGCTGTTTTGACCTATGACAGCAGGATATAGCGAGGTGGGAAATCCAAACAGTTATGGAAAGAAGGCAGAGTCAGAGAGATGCTATGTAGTCACTGGGGAAACAAGATGTGAGGTACCAAGCCACGAGCTTTGTGGTAAAATATAAAATAATAGAAATGGATTAATTTAATTGTGAGACCTAGTTAGTAATATGCCTGAGCCACTGGCCAAACAATTATAATTAATATTAAGTATCAGAGTGTTATTTTATAAGCAGCCACGGGCTGGACAAGATGTATAAGACTCCTTAGTAGGTCTATATAGAAGGTTTCAGGCCAGCCAGAGCTACATTGTGAGAATCTGTCTTAAAAAGCAAGCAAGTAAGCAAAGAAAGAAATAAAAGACATAGGGAGGGGAGGGAAGGGAAGGGACGGGAGAGGAGGGGAGGAGAACAGGGAATACTCTAGCTCAGACCCAGGCCTGGAGCTCAGAAGATTGAGTAGGTTAATATTAATTTTTCTCTCATAGCTCACACCTGTAAGCCCAGAACATGGGAGGCTGAGGCAGCTGAACCACCCTGAGTCCTGCAGAGTGAAAAAAAAGCTAAAAGAAAAGAAAAAGCGGGCTGGAGAGATGGCTCAGAGGTTAGAAGCACTGACTGCCCTTCCAGAGGTCCTGAGTTCAATTCCCAGCAACCACATGGTGACTCACAGCCATCTGTAATGAGATCTGGTGTCCTCTTCTGGTGTTCAGACATAATGGAAGCAAGATGTTGTGTTCACAATAAATAAATATTTAAAAAAAAAAAGAAAAAGCTGCTTCTGTGCCTTAGGGTTCCCTCTCCCCAGTTTATCTTGTCACAGTCTATGACTTACACAGAGATGACCGATTTTCCTGCAGAAAAAGGGATTAGAGTTACCGAATTCCCTTAGAACAGTATGTGTTCCCCTCAACCCCGCCCCCATTTCCTAACTTATTACACCAGGGGAAGACCAACAGGTTCAGCCACTTCCATGGCTCCCAGGAAGGCCACTGCAGCTTGAAGACAGAAGAGAACGGCTATGTTTGTGCATACACACAAAACAAATATTTGTTGTATGAACCAGTGCCCTGCAAAACAGTGAAGACTAGCCTACAGAGAAGGAGGGAGGAGTGGATGAGCGAAGCCCAGCCAAGGAGGAGAGTGAGATAAAGAGCTTCCTGTTGATGCCTTCCTGGCTCTGTAGCTACTGAGGTCTAGTGTCTGTCTGTCCTTGGGTTCCCGAATTAGCTCTGTTCTCTTAGAAAACACCCCACTTTCCTGTGAATGTCTTCTATATGCACCCCCACCCCCTTGCCCCTTGTTCCTGGGTGGGAACTTTTATAGCTCCTGTCCATGACCATGCTGTTCTTGTGTGTTTGTGTGATATGATGTCCTTGCCACAGCCTTGCCAATGTGTGCTTTTCTTTGTTTCTAGATTTGTAGGTCCAGGACAGTATCTTAAAGGCAACTGAATTTTCCCTTCCTTCCTTCCTTCCTTCCTTCCTTCCTTCCTTCCTTCCTTCCTTCCTTCCTTCCCTCCTTCTTTCCTTCCTTCCTCCGTCCCTCCCTCCTTTCCCTTTCCTTTCTTTGAGGCAGGGTCTCACTATGTAGCCCTGGCTGTCCTGCAACTCATTATGCAGATCAGGCTGGCCTCAAACTCACAGAGCTCCACATACCTCTGCCTCCAGAGTTGTTGGGATTAAAGACCTATAACATCACACCTGGCCACATTTACTTCATTCACTGCTCAGGACAACTGTTTTCCTGAGATGAATTTATTTCCAAGATAAAAGGTTATTTTATCTCAAGTCCTTTCTCCATCTATTTTAGCTTTATTTACTTTATTATTTTATGTATATGAGTGTCTCCAGGGTCATAAGAGAGCACTAGCTTCCTGGAACTGGTGTTTTAGTAGGTTGTGAGCTGCTATGTGAGTTCTGAGAATTGAACCCAGGTCCTTAGCAAGTGTTCTTTTTTGTTTGTTTTTCAGACAGGATTTCTCTGTGGCTTTGGAGCCTGTCCTGGAACTAGCTCTTGTAGACTAGGCTGGTCTCAAACTCACAGAGATCCGCCTGCCTCTGCCTCCCGGGTGCTGGGATTAAAGGTATGCGCCACCATCACCCGGCTCCTTAGTAAGTATTCTTAATTGCTGAGTGGACTTTCCAGTTCCCCTCTCTGCCTTTCAAGTACTAACCAGGCCCTACTCTGTTTACTTCTAAGACAGTTGTGTTCGGGTTGGTTTGGCCATAGACATTTGAACTATCTCTAAGTAGAGTCCACTTTCACGTTTATATGCTTAATTCAGTTATTTGGATTATTAACACATATCTGGGTTTTTTTGTTGTTGCTGCTGTTTTACATGTACACTTGACACTTTTTTCTAGGTGGTGTTTTGTGGTTGTTTGGTTTCTTAGTGTCCCTTGTAGCCCAGGCTGACCTCAACCTTGCTAAGTATCTGAGGATGACCTTGAACTCCTGATCCTTCTGACTCCACTTCCCAAGTGAAGGATGTCACAGGTGAGTGTCACAATACTGATTTGAACCGGGCAGTGGTGGCGCACGCCTTTAATCCCAGCACTCGGGAGGCAGAGGCAGGTGGATCTCTGTGAGTTCAAGGCCGGGCTGGACCGACAGCCTCCAAAACAATACAGAGAAACCCTGTCTCATAAAAACAAAACAAAACAAAAAAAATTACTGATTTTACATATACCTCCTAGGTTTTTTTTCCTTTTATGTTTGACAGAAGGCAAAATACAAATGCATTCCTTTGTCAAACATCCTTTGACAGGCATGGTAGCTCACACCAGTGGTCCCTTCACTCAGGGAGCTGAGGCAGGGGGACTGCGGTTGAGTTTTCAGCCAGCTTGGGTTACATAGTGAGTTCCAGGCCAGCCTGGGCTAAAGAGTGAGATTCTATCTTAAAAACAACAACAAACAAACAAAAACAAGGAACTGATGAACTGTCTAGCAGGTGAAGGTGCTGCCACCAGCCTGATGACTCAGTTCAGTACCTGGAACCCACACGGTAGAAGGAGAGAACTGACTCCCCAAAGTTGTCCTCTGACCTCACACGCATGGCATTGCACTTGAGGGTACACGCTCACACACACACTCACACTCAGATACACACATACACACTCAGACACACTCACTCACAGATACACACACACTCAGACACACATACACACATACCCACATACATACATATACACATACCTATATACACACACATACATACACACATGCCTATACACACACAGACACACACATAGACACATGCACAGACACATACACACAGTAAGTAACTAACTACCCATTCTTTGAGTTGTCACACTGGGTAATGGGAATATCAGAGGTCCCCTTCCCTTGCCCTTCCAGTTCAAGTTGTCCCTGGGCCCTTCTCCTTGTAAGCCAGGGGTCCTCTCTCTAGATCATCTACTCTGCTCTCAGGCCTTAGCATCCACCTGTTTGGCAGGCTGAGCAGGCTCCTTTTTTACTATAAATGATAAGTGACTTTTACCCCATGCACTTGTGTTCAGTGTTGGAATGTACACTGTGACTAGTCCGACTCCACCAAGATAGAGTGTTGTGCTCTCAGAACTGCCCCCGTCAGCTGTTTGGAGTATAACAGCAAGGAACACCAATAGCATCCTGATGTGGACCCAAGGGCAGATGGCCCTCAGGAGCCAATAGGGCTCACCCAGAGTGGCTCATCAGAACTCATTTGCTTTGACCTCTGGCCTCTGCCATGAAGGCCCTCATGGATCCCAGACTGCTGGAGACGCAAGAGGTGGGAGACTCGGTGTGGTTTCTGCAGTCTGGAACAAGTCTTTTCTGCATAGGCAGAGAGCTGACGTAAGGGGAGCCGGACAGGTGGGGCAGGGGCTTAAGTGCTCTACTGTTACATCTAGGAGAGACTGTGGGCTTCCCAGCACAGAACTGGAGCCAAAACGGAAGACTTGTCTGGACTTCTGACCTGCTAAGTCCAAGACTGAAACACTATGGTCCTCTTAGCCCACTCTTCCCAGTCCTTATTTGTTATGACTTGTTATTTAACATGTATCTCTGTGTGTGTGTTTGCCGTGTACATATCTACAGGAATGCTACGGGCAGTGTGTTGAGGTCAGAGGCCAGCCTGCAGAAGTCCGTTTTCTCTATCACCATGTGGATCCCAGGAACTGAACTCAGTGTCAGACTTGGCAGCGAGTACCTTTGCATGCTGAACCATCTCGCAGGTTCTTTAGTCCTGACTATAATGATCACATTCCACACCCCATCAGCCAAACCAAGATCTTGGTCATCATTCCTAACTCTTCTGGTGATCCCAGCCTTTCATAATTAACTACAAGGACACAAGAAGCCAGGAATGGTAGCATCTTGAACTTCAGCACTTGAGAGGCAGAGGCGGCAGAGCTCTATGAACTCAAGCCTGGTCTACAAAGAGAGTTCCAGGAGTACATAAGTGAGACACCCTATCTCAAAAAAAAAAAAAAAAAAAAAAGGAGCCTCAAGAGCTTCGCCCTCTGAATCACTCCCCCACTGCCTGGTGGCTTGACACACGTGGATTATAACTGTGTAGTTAGGTGGCTAGAAATCTGAAATGAGTTATGAGACTAAGAGCACAAGTTCAGGGGCTTGTTCCTTCTAGAGGCCCCAGGATGGAATCTGTTCCTTGTCCTTCCTGGCCACGGGAAGCCACCTATACCCTGCAGTCACACGGGTTCCACCTCTGCTTCTGTTGGCACACACCTCCCTCCTCCTCCTCCTCCTCCTCCTCCTCCTCCTCCTCCTCCTCCCCCTCCTTCTCCTCCTCCTCTGCCCTCAGACATCCTGCCTCTCGCTTTTAAGGACCCTTGTGATTGTCTCTAGCTCACTCAGAAGTCCTAAAAGTCAACTGGTCTAAGGGTCCTTAATCTAGTCCCATCTGTAGGTCTCTTTTGTCACAGAAGAAGGCACTCCCAGGTTCTGAGGACTAGGATGTGGGGGCATCTCCAAGAACTCCTTTCACATCAACCTACCATGTAGCCTCCTTAATCTCTTCCGGGCGATGTCCCTGGGCTTCAGACTGGGGGACCTACGAGCCCATCCTGATTGGTCCTTGCCTCTTGTCCTGCCCCTCCCACCAATTTCCGTTATTGCATCTTCGTGTGTGTGTGTGTGTGTGTGTGTGTGGTGTTTAGTGTGTGTGTATGTGTGGTATATGTGGTGTGTATATGTGGTGTGTGTGTGGTATGTAGTGTAAGTGTGTGTATAGTGTATGTGTAGTGTGTGTGTTGAGGTGTATGGTGTTTGTGTGTGTGGTGTGTATTGTATGTGGTGTGTTTAGTATGTGTGTATGTGTGGTGTATGTGGTGTGTATATGTGGTTTGTGTATAGTATGTAGTATAAGTGTGTGTATAGTGTGTGTGTGTAGTGTGTGTATATACTGAGGTGTATAGGGTGTGTATGGGTAATGTGTGTATGTGTGTGTTGTTGGGATGTGTGTGTGGTGTGTGTGCGCGCATGCGTGTGTGCGTGTTGGGTGGTGCTAGGGGTGAAAGTCAAAGTCTCGAACACGCAGGGTAAACACTCTACCATAAGCTTCAGC